GTTCCTTTAAGATCCTTCTTAGAGGCCCAGGGGACTTAAGGGTTCCTTTAAAGGGTCCCCTGAAGTTCTTTAAGGATTCTTTGGGGGTTCTAATTGTAGTACTTAGAGGCCCAGGGACTTAGTATTTAGTAAGTAGGTTATAAGTAGAGTCATAAGTAACCGACTTACTAAGGCCCCCTGGGCCTCTAAGTAAGGCTTAGTTTAGTGATGTTCTCGAGGACTCTTTTAAGGGTTCCCTTGCAGGGTTCAGTGTTGAGGGTTCCTTGAAGGGTTTGTTTGGAGGCCTAGGATTCAGTGGTGTAGGGTTTAAGGTTTAGTAGGGTTCGATGCGGGATCTAGCCGGGTGTAAAGTATAGGCTTCAGAGGTGTCTGGGTTTTTGGAATTATGGGGTTTAGGTTCTGGCGTCAGGGATTTGGACTCTCGGTCTCTGCAACAAGCCCGGCGGTGCCGTCAATAGAGCCAGTGTTTGTCTTGTTACTGATTGTTAGTTTGAAGATTTCCGCAGGGGAGTGGCTGTGGGCTTTGTAGGATTTGATGGATCAGAATTTCTAAACATTGACAAACCCTATACCAGTAGTGTCTTCGCTTCAACTTGGAAGTGCAGGCTGGATAGCATTACGGTGAGCACCACAGGTCCTAGTCGCATTATTTCCAGCCTTGGTGTCATGGTTTCGGGATCCTCGCCAGGTCTTGGTTCCCAAACGCATCATTACCAATATGGTCTATGTGATTCGGGCCTTCCTTGATTCGTGAGCAAAGGCGCCCAAGACGACCAGTCCATTGCAATTCGCAGTTCTCCCTGGCAGTGGGTCAGTTTGAAATCGCGCCTTTAGACGTACTTCATGTTTCGCAAGCGAAGTCGGCTAGTTGGGACGAGATTTTCGAAGGCTGTTGGAGAAGTTGCCGAATAGACGGACCTGGTCATCGGACGGTACCCACGAGGTTCTGGATGCTGAGACATTTTGGGATCTAATTTATGGAAGGGAAGTTGAGTCCTGTGAGCATTGCAGGCTTGCAAATCCTCTAGGTGCTATGGATCGTCACAGAACCCTATGGATCCTGATAGAACCCTTGAAGGAGCTCTTATGAAAGCCCTCAGCCTGTCGGCCTCAGCGTGAACCGCTTCAGATCTTGAAATGAATCCTCTAACCCCAAAACTCTACAAACCTAAACCCCTAAACAGGAGAAGCTCCCAAATCTTAAATCCTAAACCCTAAACCCTAAACCCTAAACCCTACACCCTTAGCCTCGAAACCCAAAGCCCCAAAAACTCACCAACCCTAATTCTAAACTAGAACCCTAGAACCTGAACAGTCTTAAACCCATGTACCCAGGCCTTAGAGAGCGTAGGGCCGGCAGCTGTGTATGGCTACGTGAAAATTAGGGATCCTTTTGTGAGTACCCTAAATAACAGGTGCCGTACTATAATGGGTTAGGGTTACCATAGAGAAGGTAACTAGAGTTACAAGTACACATAACTCCAAGTAAGATACGTAAACCCTTACCTACTGAGTACCAAGATCCTCCAAGTTGGGTTTTGGAGTGTGGGGTGTCAGGATCTTGTTTTGCGACTAAATGACTCACAGTCTGTAGATCAGTCTTTCTCAAGAACCCCCAAACCCATTGTATAGACCACGGACCCTAACCTCAGGATTATGGCCACCGAGCTTCAGCTCAAACAACCTAAACTGGCTTGGTTCAGAAGGGGCCAGATGTTAAGAGGGTCTGTTGTACCGGGCATAGCAGGATTCTCATAAAGAACCCTTAGATTAGGTGCCGCCAAGAAGCCCACACATACTCGCCCTTGCCGCTTCAAGCACATACCCGAACAAGATGTAGATCATTTCTCGAACTACCTTCATATAAACCCTAGACACCGTATGCAGAGGTGTCCGCGCCGCAGTGATGTCAGCATTGTATTCCTCTGCCCTGGCTGGACGTGTTTTATTGTTGGTAATGGCTAGGCGCTCTGAATGTCGTATATTAGTACCCCAAGGGTCCAAAGGACCCAATAATTAGGTACTTGGTTTTGGGATAGTAGTTCTGTAGGTTAGGATTTTTGAGAGTATATGATTATTAGCTACTTGGACCCTTGGGAGTAGGAAGAGTAGTTCTGGCACTAGTGGTCGTCGTAGTAGTAGGTAGTCGTAGTCTTTGTTGCAGTCGTCGTCCTAAGTCGCAGTTGTAATAGTCCTAGATGTGGTAGTTGTGGTAATCGTCGTTGTCGTCGTCGTAGTCGTCGCCGTAGCCGCAGGATGCAGGAGGAGCAGTCACCTATTTAGGGTTTAGGAGGAGTTGCAGCGGTTCTGTTTGTAAGCTGGGAGTATGTAGCTTAGAGTCCAGGTAGGGCTCGACTTCAAGACATTCGTTTGTCTACGAAGCGAGAGAGGAGCAAACAGAGGAGTAAGATATCTTTCAAGACTCTTGCGACGCAAACCGTAAACTGTAAGCGCTAGGGCCTTGACAGCTTGCTTTTGCAAGGTTCCCTAAACACTAAACCTCGGAATCCTAAACCCCTAAAGCCCTAAACCTTCAAACCCAAGACCCTAAACCCTAAACCACTAAAGCCCTAAACCCCTGAATCCTAAACCCTCAATTCTGCGGCTTTAGCCGGAGCTCTCCTTTGACATGTCGATGCTATCGATTGTGGGAGTCCTCACTCAGCCCCAAGCAAATCATGGGTAGTTCTAAAAGTTTTCGGCCCCTTAGAGGGTTCAGGAAGTTTAGGTTTTAGGGATTAAGGTTGAGGGTGAAGGTAGTTCTCTAAATTAGGGTTCCCTTTTAGGGTCCTTCTTGGAAGGATGCCGTACTAATTTGGGGAATGGAGCCGGGGACCCTAAATCAGAGAACTATACGCATACCGTGCATACCGTAGATGCCTGAATGATTAGCAACCCTAAGCCCTAAGTGTCCATGTATTCATATGGGTGGTTGTCGAAATTAGGGTCCCTTCTTGGGTCCTTATTTTAATACAGCACCTATTATTCAGGCTACCCAAAACATGGATCATAATTTTGATAACGCCCATATAGTATGTACTTTGAACCTCTATGCGAACTACTTTGAGGCTTCAGTTTCGATTGTATGGGCACATGGACCCTCAGTATAGTTTTTTATTTCTGATATGACCCCGCTGTAGTAGCCATTAGTAGCGCCTATGATAGTGACACGAAATATATTAATCCTTAACAGCCTAGCAAGCCCTGCAAAATCCGAAACATAGCCTATAAACCATTGGACAGCCTTTCAGTTTGCGCAAAGTGTGTCCACCTAAAGTGCGATGGGTCTTTCCCAGACAACCCCGGAAGTCTTGATGAATGATGCACCTGGCCGCAAGCAATGCATCCAGCAATGCTTCAAACGGAGGGTTTGATACAAGGGTGTCTAGGGCTTTCCTTGTTTGCGGCGCTGCTACAGGATCTATGAGTTGTTGTAGGTTTTACTGGTTTAACATACAGGTCTGAATAATTCGTACGGGGCCCTGGTGTGGAATAGCTGATGCGATCATGGACATCCCAGGAATCGTGTTGATTCATGCTCATTCGGACCCTTTACCATCCCTAAACCCTAAACCCTAAACCCTAAAACCCTAAACCCTAAAGCCTAAAACCCTAAACCCTAAAACCCTAAAACCCTAAAACCCTAAACCCTAAACCCTAAAACCTAAAACCGTAAACCCTAAAACCCTAAACCCTAAACCCTAAAACCCTAAGCCCTTAAACCCTAATCCGGGTAGGTTTCAGTTGGTGGCACGGACTTCCTTGAGCTCGCTCTAGGCCCCAAGCTGGAGAGTTCTGAAGCCCTTCAACCCACCATAACGCCTTCCCACAAGGTTTGATTATGCACCACCCTAAACCCCTAAACCCTAAACCCCTAACCTTTAAACCGTATAAACCCTAAACTCCCAACCTTTAAACCCTATACACCCTAAACCCCGACTCTGCGAAGAACGGCCTTTAGGGTTTAAAGTTTAAAGGTTAGGGGGTTGGGGTCTAGGGTTCAAAAAGTTAGGGGCAGGTGTTTAGAAAGGGCTCAAGGTTTAAAGGTTGGGGGCTTAGGGTTTATAGGATTTAAAAGGTTAGGGGCTTAAAAAGGGTGTTAAGTTTACAGGTTACGGGCTCAGGGTTTAGGGTTTCAAAGGTAAGGGGTGTATAGAGGGTTTAAAATTTAAGGTTTAAATCCAGGTTTAAAGGTTGGGCGGGTTCAGGGTTTAGGGTCTTATCCCCGACTTAGATCCCCAATACCTAGCCTTTAAGCTTTTCAGGTTCTTATAGTTTAGTAGTAAACGGAAGGTTTAGCTGTTTATTTCTGTGGGTTTTTGGGGTAGTAAGCCGAGCCCTTAAGACTTTAGCCAGGGCCCCAAGTTTCGTCTAAAACCCCAAAATCCGATTCTTTCCAAGTGTTTGAAACCCCCAAAACCGACTCCAAGGGAGGGAGGTACCCATGACTACCCAGAGAGCCCAATACCCCTTGACTAGGGAGTATAGCTCAAATCATAATATGAAACCCCTAATGATGTAAATTATATTCCTTAGTTAAGGGGTATTGGGCTCTCTGGGTAAAGACTTCTATCTCCTGCAGTGTTTAATGCACCTTTGCAGAGTCCCCAGATGTGTAAGCCACCCGGAACTGCTGCTTTCTTGCCCACAGGTCCACTTGTAGTGTGCGAATTCATCGTAATCCCTGCCCCGGGGTTCAGCATTTGCGTTTAGGCCTCTTGGCCTTGAGGAATTAGAGCTCGGCAGTTTCAGGGTTGAAGGTTTGGGCTATTGGGCTTCAGGGTGTCGGAGGTGCACATTGGGAGTGCAGGCTTCCCAAAATCTGATGCTTCAAAGCCCAACCCAGGCCACGAACAAGCACCCTCACACCTTGTCTCCCCGAAAGCCGCGAGGAGGACATTTAGAAGCTCAAAGCTTTTAAGATCGCGATCCTGTCGGAATACCCGGGGGTAGGAAGCATCCGTCCCTAGCGGCCGATGGTGGTGTCGCCCTGAAATCCCATGGCGGGCAGCTCTCAAGGAGAAGATGGGTTGACTTTGCGAGAAAAGACATAGGTGGGGGTGGGGTTGGGGGGTGGGGGTCACGGGGGTCGGGGTGGGGATGGGGGTGGGGGTGGGGGTTGGTCAACAAAGTACTATAGCTATAAACCCTAAACTAACCCCAAAACCAAAGTCCTAAGCCCTAGACCCTAAACCTAAGGGCCTTTATCATCGGGATCCGATTAAGTCTTTTGTTGACGCTCCTACGCAGTGCTAAGCTGCCGCAGACCGTGGAGCCCGGCTACCTTCGGATGACTCGCCCGAGAGTTTATACAGTGTAGTTTGAACTAAAAGCCGTATGTATTCTATGCTAATGGCTGCTATTAAGAACGTACAAACAGGTAGGTTACGGTAGCTTAAGGTAAGATGTATATACGGAGGCCCTCAGCCCTGAACCATGAGCCTTTTGTTCCTCTGGAAGAAGGTGAAGGGTGCCAACAGAATCAACTCGGACGTTTAAGGTTGACCACCTTGCACTTGGGCGGAAAGGAAGTGTAGGATCTTCGGATGTGTGGGTTTTGAAGGCACGTATGTACAGGCGTTGTGAAAGCAGCATGTTCCAACAAAGACAAGGAGCCGGTAGCGTGGTGAGCGAGTCGAAATGTAAGGGCCCTCAGCAACGGCATTCCTAGAGACTTCAAGACCCCTTAATCAAGGATATTCCTTTAATATTTGGGATCCTACTATAATGTATATAAGATATATTCCTTAAGTTAATTCCCTTATAGATCCCCTATAGACCCCTTTAAGGAACCCTTTAAGGAACCCCTTTAAGGAACCCTTTCAGGAACCCTAAGAAGTAGTCCTTGCTTAACGGATTCTGGGATTTCGCTGAGATCCCAACTTCACTGGCCACCCTCAGAGCGCAAGAATGTGTGCCACCGGCACTGTCAGGGTTTAGGGCTTAAAAAGGGTTTAGGGTTTAGGGTACACCCTGTGGGAACTCTAAACCACCCAGACGTTTATATAGGGAGCCTCACTAATTGCCAAAACTACTTTGGGCATTCCCTATTCTTTGTCATTGTTGGGCAACAAACATTCTACATGTTTATGGGTACTTTAACCCAAGAAGGAATAAAAACTTACATGTTTAATCCAATCCCAACCATGAACTCGTATATAAGTACACTGCTGTAGAAACTCTGAATCTGAACCCTCTTTTGCTTGAACCCTGTGCTAAAGGAAAAGAGGGCTCAACAAAACAAACCTCTAAACCCAACCCTACGTTTGATTTAGGCCTTAGGCCCCAAACCAAAATCCCAAGAATCTACTTGGAAGGACCTGCTTGCAGAGGAAACCGATTCTTGCACAGTTGGCTCCGGTCTCAGTCTGTGATGCAGTGGTTCAGGCTAATGTAGGAACCTGATTAAGAAACCTTGGGCCTTTAATAGGGTTCCTTATATATGAATCCTACCATCTTGGGGTTCTAGGCCCAGGGTTTCTTAATCAAGTTCCTACATCAGCAGTATTACTCAGGATTAGCAAGTAGGGTTTAGGGTTCAGGACTCAGGGTTTTTTTCATTTGTGAGAGCCCTACTGCGAAAGTACTATTAAGAATTGGACAAAGCAGGCTGCGCGCGAGTGGTTTGATCTGGAAGCAAAAAATGCACACCGTTCGAGGTAAGAATTCATGCAGAAGCTTTGTGATACTGCTGATGGACAAAATCCTGCATTACCCATTATAAGGAATATACCATAGTTCCCGTAGTTTAGATTTTGTCCATCAACAGTAGTTTAGGACTATTTGTGTCCGGTCGAGGAGTTAAGTGGCCACCGCTTAGGCCTCATTAATCATGCGAGATGGTTCCAGTAAGCAGTGGTCTACTATTTCTATCTCTTAAGGCCCCTGCATTAAATCCTCATAACAGCCCTTACAGTAGCCTTGAAAGGGACGCTGAAAGGAACCCTGAAAGCAACCCTTCTAGGGCCCCTACAACTATAGTAAACCCCCATAATAGCCCTTATAGTAATCCTTAGCGACCCCGTTGAAAGGGAACCCAAAGTCCTATACTACGGAGTGCTTGGACCCTTAAGGGTTAGGAACCCTTAGGGTTTATAGGGTTTAGGAAGGAGTACGTGGACCCTTAAGGCTCAGTAACCCTTGTAAGGCCCCCAGAGACTCCAATAGCCCTTAATTAAGGAATATTCCTTAAATCATATTAAGGATCCTGGTATAACTTAAGGTATATTCCTTAATTAAGGGCTATTGGAGTCTCTGGGCCCTACTATATACTATGGTCCTTGGGTCCAAAAGCCTTAAAATATGAGTCCTTAGATCCCTAGGGTAGGCCCTACATTATACCCTAAACCCCAAACCCCTAAACCCTAAACCCCTTATAAGGCCCTGCCGACATTTCATGACCTCTCAGGTGCTTGCTTTCTGCTTGCGCATGGCTCCTCGAAGCGCGGGATGCCAAGGAGAGCGTCAGGATTTGGCTGTGAAGGGTTTAGATCCCTTTAAAGGAACCCTTATAGATCTGCTTAAAGGGAACACTTGTGAGGGGTTAGGGTTCAGTACCGCAAATGCTTGGTGTAATATAGAAGCCTCGATAGGTACCAATATCATTCTTTGTTTCAGTGTTCCTTCGCCTGGCTGGGAATATCAAGCGTTCGGGGAAAAGGGCAATAGAGAAGCCTAGATAGTTTTCAATAATTTATCCTTGTGTCAGGGTTCCTTCGTAGGAGTGCATGAATCCCAAGAATATGTTCTATTTTTTTAGGCTTCAGTATTACCGAATGGGGCTTCTGGGTTGTAGGGTTGAGGGAGCTGGGAAGTTCGAAGCTTTCAGTGCAAGCAGCTTTCGAAAGCTATAAGGCCGGAACAAACAGCAAGAGTATATTCCTTCGGGTCACTTCTCAAGGTTAGAGCCCCCCCCAAAGGCAAGCCCCAGCTTGCTTCTCAGGTTGAACCTTAGAGCGTATAAAGCCAATCCCTAAACCCCCGCACCCTCAAGCCGAGGCTTTGAAACCTAAACCCTAGCCTAGAGGCACCATATATATATATATATATATATATTTATTTATTTATTTATTTGTATTTATATTTATATTTAAATTTATATTTATATTTATATTTATATTTATATTTTATTTTTGATTTTTTAATGTGTGGAATTTGGTCCAGAAAGAACCATTCCTCTGATGGTTTTGGGGACCTAGTTCCATAATGGTAGTACATTGGTACATATGGAGCCTCTGGGTAGCAGAAGACGAGCTTCCAGGATCATTCCGAGCACATGTTGCTCCCAGAGCCCGAAGATCGTGCAGAGAGGCTTTGGGCATCTAGGGGGTTCTTTCGGGTTTAGCGGTACTTGTGTTTCTCGCTTCCTCTGTTCGGGAAGTGCACATACTAACCCTAAACCCGAAACCCTGCATGATACTTTTGAACGACATGCTAGTCTGCTTTGTTCGGTGTTCCCAATCCTAACAGGCCAAGCATACCACTACTGACCCTAAACCCGGCATCCTGCATCCTAAGCTACGGCTTTCAGCGACATACATGATCACTTGTGTTTCTCGGCTCCTATTCCCGAAGGTTTCAAGTACGCACACCCATACCCTAAACCCTGAGCCTGAACCCTAGCGAAGATTCTAAGACTCTCAGCTAGATACATGTTTGATTTTCGTTCCGGGGTTCCCAATCACTAACAGCCCAAGTATCCAAACAAACCCTAAACCCTTAGGCCCTAAGCCCTAAGCCCTAAGCCCCATAGTAGTTCCTTCTTGGGATTGCCCAAAAGGCTTCTATATATGGGAGTTTCCGAAAATTAGGGGTACCTTATTCTAAAAACCTTATAATAAGGATCCTACTATTTAGGGTACTATATTAGGGTCCCCTATTTTCGGAAACTCCCATATATGAACTCTAAATAGGAACCCTAAACTCTAAACCCCTAAACCCTAAACCCCAAACCCCTAAACCCTAAACCCCAAGCCCCGCAACCAACCTAAACCCTAAACCCTAAACCCTAAACCCCTAAACCCCTAAACCATAAAAACCCCTAAACCCCTAAACCCTAAACCCCTAAACCCCTAAACCCTAAACCCCTAAACCCCTAAACCCTAAACCCCAAAACCCTAAACCCCTAAACCCTAAACCCTAAACCCTAAACCCTAAACCCCTAAACCCCTAAACCCTAAACCCCTAAACCCCTAAACCCTAAACCCCTAAAACCCTAAACCCTAAACCGAACCACTCTGGGGCCTCCGGCCCTGGGCCTTGGTTCCCCAACTTTGATTTTCAATGACTAGGATGCCCAGTAGTACCCTTATTCCCTTTAAAGGGAGCTATAAGGGTTCCTTAAAGGGATCTATAAGGGTTCCTTAAAGGGAGCTATAAGGGTTCTATAAAGGGTTTAGGGTTTCCGAAAATTAGGGGCTAGGATGCCCAGTAGTACCCTTATTCCCTTTTTGTAGTCCTACTGCTGATGGACAAAATCCTGCATGACCCTAAGGACTCTAAACTATGGGAACTATGGTATATTCCTTATAATGGGTCATGCAGGATTTTGTCCATCAACAGTAGGTTCCTTATAAAGTTACCCAATACCAAAAAGAGAGGCTTTTCTATTCTTAGGTTACTGGGTATCCTAGATGACAGGCTTGGTTGCTTGTGTTTCTTGGTTCCTAGTCCTTACCCAAGGGGTTCCCAAGGTACCTGTATAGTAGGATGTAGGGTGTCCGTATTAGGAATTACTATTATGATTTGGGGAAGTATCCCCCATAAGAATACCGAGCACCCTTTGGGCTAAGATTCTGAGTGTACGAATGTTTCCTACTTTGAGATCTAGCAGTACTCACGCTGGCCTATGTGGAGTCTTGGGGATTGAAGTCCATATTTTGCCCAAGAGGCATAAGAACCTTTTCGGGTACTGAACAGCCTGGTAAACCCTCAACCTCACAATTGCAGTGCAGGCAGCTCTCTCAGCTTGGCAGGGATGAAGACATGACCACAGAGACCGGGAAGCAGGGCATCATGCGCACCCTGCTCGCAGTCCGAACTTCGGATTTGGGGATATGGGATTGGGTTTAGGGTTCAGGGTTCCGGATTTACCGGGGTGCAGACAGCGCTCTTGGTTGCCTTACTGTTATTGCGCCATCTAACCTAAATTTCGCAACACATAGACTACTCAACTTGTTTCCCCGCATACACTTCGAAGCCTCGAACCCCGGGCGGGAATTGAACTCCGCCTCGTCCCGCCCCTACATCCTGCAGCCGAAACCTGTAACCCTAAGCCCTGACTATCCCTTGCAGAGTAAGTAGGTTTTAAGTCGAGTCATAAGTACCCTGATTGGAGTTGCCCCAATTATCCCTGCTTATAACTGACTTACTGAATCCCCTGGGCCTCCAAGTAGACAAGAAGACTCTAAACCCTAAACACATCCTAAACCCTAAACCCCCTCAACCCCTAAATGCTACAGCCCAAACCCTATGTAGACCCTAAGCCCTTAACCCTTAAAGCCCTAAAACCCTAAACCCTCAAAGAAACTCCTCAGAGAGGAAGGCGGCAGGTACTGTAGGGGCCTTAATAGTTAGAATAGGGTTTTGGGGCCAATTGTACTATAGTTATAATAAAGAATCTCAACCCCAGGTCGGGAAGTGAGCTCTGCCTCATCTCTGGAGAACGTCTCACTCTGGCGGAGTTGCCGTGAACTGGATCTCGCCGACTGCTGCCGCGTGGGTCTGCTACGGGTGAACGACGGGCAGGACCCTGGGTTTAGGGCGTTCGGGTTAGGGCTTTAGGGGTCAGGCTTGGGTTTAGGGCTTAGGGAACCCTAACCCCCACCTGCAGGGTGGAGGGCTTAGGGTTAAGAGCTTTAGGGATCAGGGTTTAGGGCCTGGGGGCCTGGGGGTTTATGAGGTTTTATGTAAGACGTCAGGGGTAAGGGCCCAGGAGGATCCACGGCAGGCGTGCTGGATTCGCATTTAGGTTTTAGGGCTTTAAGGTGGGTTTAGGTTGTAGGGCTTGAGGCTTTTATTGGGCCTCTTACAACTTGAGAGTATTTGAGACTCCCAAACCGAAGAGTCAAAGAGTCCTAAACGGAGGCAACTGTTCTGACAGAAGTGCATGGCTTGTTTAAGGATCCGCTCTTCGTACGAAGCTTTGCTAGAACCTCCGGAGCAACTTGAGAGCCCCAAACCCTGTTTAGGGTTTACCTTAACTCCATAAACCTACAATCATATCCAAACCCTGTTTAGGGTTTAGGGTTTACATTTAAACACCATAAAACCTACCCTTCTAAAGATTTAGATAAGGAAATCATATGAAGGAACCCTGAAAAGGTAGGTTTCTTGGGGTCCAGGCAGGGTTCCAAACCCTGAGCCCATCACCCCAAACCGAAGAGCCTGAAGCGTTCAGGAGGGGCCTTAGACTGTTCGGTTCTTAGTAGGGAATGAGGGAATGGATTATGGAGACTATTATTGGGGATTAGGGTTTAGGGTTTGTGGATTATGGAGACTACTATTAGGGATTAGGGTTTAGGGTTTAGGGGTTTAGGGTTTGGGTTTTTATGGAGATCGTTATTGGGGATTATATAGGGACTACTATAGGGATCCATTCCCCCATTCCCTACTTAGCACCAGGCAGTAGAACTTGACCTCTGGGTTTCGCTGGTCCTAGCTCAGCCCGAAAAGCATGTCGGGGATTCTCAGGTCTGGGGTTTAAGCTTTGTGGTTTAGGGCTTCAGGGTTTACCCATGGGCCCCAAAGTAGCTCCTTTTTGGGACTACCTTATAGGATTCTATATATGAACCCCAAAAAGGAACTACTTTGGGGCCTATGGGTAGGGTTTAGGATTATGGCTCAGGTTTTGTGGCAGATTTAGGAGGGTTTCGTCAGGATTCAGGATGCACCCCTAAGCCGTAAAGCCGAAGCTCTGGACCCCCCTACACTCGGGAAAGGCTGCAAGGCTTCGAAAAACTCGAAGACTTTGAGCGTGTGTAAATGGGAGTTTCCGGAAATTAGGGGTACCGTATTTTGGGGCCCGTATACTAAGGATCTACTATTTAGGGTACTACATTAGGGTCCCGTATTTTCGGAAACTCCCAAATCTGACATCCCGAACCATGAACCCTGAACTCTGCGACACCCCAAGCAACCTTGAGCCCAAAAAGGGAACCCTACGACACCCGGGCAAGCTCCGAACCGTGAATGCTAATATCGTAAACTCTGAACCATTCTAGATCCCTTTGAAGGAACCCTTGAAGGTACCGTTTCAGGGTGCTTGAACCCTAGCTAAATACCGAAAGCCCCAGAAACCAGCAACCTAAACTGGGTGCTTGTGAAGGAGTTTTATTTAAGTAACCATTTAAAAGGATCAAACGAAATTGCATGGTTTCTTCATGTTTCTTTACTTTTGCAGCAACTTAAGCCCAGAATCTTGGTTGATGTAAGGATGAGACTAGCGTCCCTACACAGGGTTTCCTCTAAACGGTTCTATAATACCCTAAGGCTCCATGTACCCTTATAGTATATACTTAGGCCGACCCTTTAAGGCTTAAGATAACGGTACATGGAACCTTTGGGATACCTATAAACCCTAAACCCTAAACTGTAAACCCTTCGCAGGGCAGCTGTCGCTGCGCCAATGCCTCGGACCCAGCGGGTGCCAAGCGGAAGGCGACCATCTGCGACCCGATCCTATACCTAGAGGCTCATTCAGGGTTTTGGGTTTGGAGGTTTCGGGTTTTGGAGGGTTACTTGAAGGTTCAGCTTCAGGATTCCTTCGCAGGGTTTTCTGTTGTTGTTTTTTTCATTTTCCCGTAGCGCTTTGTAGGGTGTTCTACAGGGACCCGCAATCCTAAGCCAAGAGTCTACCAGCCGAGGCTCCCTTCGCTGGCAAGCTTGCAGCGAACTCCAGAAGGTGCGCAAGTTTTTTCGGGTTTAGTGATTGGTGTAATGTAGGAACCTGATGGATAAAGAACCTTGGGCCTCTATTAGGGTTCCTTATATGAATCCTACTTTTTTTGGGGGGGTATAGGCCCAGGGCCAAGGGTTTCTTAATATGTGGAAACGGGTACTCTCACGATCGTCTGGCCCCTCGGGGGTGCGCCCGGCCTGGCTGTCTGGACTGCGGGTGTACCAAACTTAAGCCAAAAACGGTATGGAAAGGAGCAACAAGGCTCTGTAGCTTCTCTTGTTTTGGCTCTTGAGAGTTGAAAAGAGGGCAGAATATCTCCTTCAAGCAGGTCAGCTTGAAGGCGCTGGCATGCCAGGCTTCTGCCATCGCAGCTGCCATCGCGGCCATCGGCTCCGGCTTCTTTTGCCAAACGCCGAGAAAGACGTGGTGATTTTCGGCCAGGTCTTCGATTCTTCGAGATTCTTTGCCAAGGCCTCCCTTGCCAAGAATGTTGTCACGCTGCGCCCCATTCGGATGGCACAGGCGGCACCGGCCCAGCCGGCCCCCTTCCCGATACATTACTTAGGTTGTAAGTTTAGGGTGAAAAGTTCGGATGCTGGGGGTGAACCTTGAGGTAGAGATTGGGTTCGTGGTTTTGGGGGTTGGGGTTTAGGGTGTCTCGTCTTGGAGTGAAGGTTCAGGGTGTAGGAGACCAGGTGTTAGCGTGGGTCTTGGGATCAATTTTTAGGATTTAGGAGGGCCGGCAAGGAGAAGTATGAGGTCAGGGGCAGCGGTAGCAGGAAGAGGAGGAGGGAGTGCGGCATGCTAGCCCAGTCAAACACCTGTCAAGGCTATGGTCCAGAACGATAGAACTTTTCGAACATGGTACAGATCCTCTGCACTCGGCTTTTGGGTTGTGGGCCGGGGGTCGACTACGGTCTGAGCGCCCAAGTTCATGAACTTAATTCAGAGGCCTTCATAAGTAGAAGCGGGCTTTGGTGCCCAGTATGCTATGAGCCCCCAACATCGTATAGATAAGTGTTCAGGCACCAATATTATGAACTTGCACCAGAGGCTCCCTCTCTCCCCAGGGAGTCTCTCATGTTTCTTTACCTGGACACCAGATGACTTCTTCATATGACGCCCCGCAAATCCGGGAGCCGAACTTGACCCTCACGCCTTCAAGCCCACCCTAACCCTAAACCCTATGTAAGCCCTAAACCCTAACCCTAAACCCGAACGCTACCCCAAAAAACTTCACGCACACGTCCCTTGCCCTGAGCTCAAGAGTCCCTTAAAAAAGGAACCCTACTATAGATCCCTTGCAGACCCCTTTCAAGGAACCCTACAGGACCCTTTTTTGGACCCTTTCAAGGAACCCTAAAGGACCCTTTTTTATTCTAAACTATTAAGGCCCGCGCCCTATTTGCTTTTGTTCAGGAGTCTTGCTGCCACATGACTCCCGCCTCACTGCTCGTGGCTTTTGGGACCCTCTGACGACAAATGCAGATAGGGTTCCTAAAAAGGGCCCCTTAAAGGGTTCTATAAGGGTTTCAAGAAGGAACATTTCGTTCGGGGCCTGACTAATTATCTTTACTATTCTGTGATGCTTTAGGGCCTCCTTACTATAAGTATAATATGCCCCGAAATCCTATTCTAATTATTACGGCCCCCTTTTTACGTTCTTGTGGGGTCTTTGTGGTCTTGAAGCGGTTCGATGGAGGGCCATGAAAACGGACAACTCAACTAAAATTCGTCTTAAAACGGTTCAGCTCTAAACCCTTGGGCCATTTTAACTCTTTTCCCCAAGGGTCCACATAGTACTTAATGTATTTTGGGGCCCAAAGGGGGGCCCAAAATCCTGTAATAGAGAGTGTGTGCTTGGATTTGGGTTGGGGTGGTAGAACCCCCTGTGAACCCTGATAGAAGTGACCTGAATAGTCGGTTACTACTTAACATATATATTTTGTACCCCAGTAGCCTACTATTTAGGTAGCTAGAGCTCTAGGGGAACACAAAGTTTTACACCGCCGCCTTCACCCCAGTTCGTCAGGTCTAGTGCTGTCGGTCTTTGGGATGCGGGCTTAGAGACCGGTTCAGGGTATGGAATTAGTATAGGGTTTAGGCCCTAGCCGGTTTAGGGACTACTACGTGTGCTTGAAGAACGAGTTTAGGGTGCAGGCATTAGGATTATGGGGATCGCAGGGATTACAAACCGGCAAAACGCATCGGCTTCAGCCAACATGCTTCAAATCCAGAGCGCTTCAGGGGTCAAAGTCGGAACTCTTCGGGACATTTTCCCGGAGAGCCCAATACACCTTAATTAAGGAATATGGTTTACATTATATAGGGCTTCATACCACAAGCTATATTCCTTAATTAAGGGGTATTGGGCTCTTTGGGATGGTGGGTATTAGTGGCTGACCTTCTTCATCGATAAACCGTAAACACTCGACCCCCAAAGCCCAAAAAGACACCATTTGGAGGGGCTTAAATAAATACTATAATACTATTTCTGGTGGTTCCTTTTTGTAACTATAGCAAAATGGGCCCCAAAACCCTATTCCAACATTTATAAGCCCCCTATAGTGAAAGCTCCTTGAGCCTGAACACGCAAGTCCGAATATTCCCGATCTCCTGAACACCTACCTGGAGGCCCAGGGATTGGGGTAACTCCATTTAGCGGACTTATAACTCTAGTTATAAGCTGCGTACTATGTCCCCTGGGCCTCTAAGTAAGCCTAGTTGGTTTAGCTAGGACCCAGAGTAAGCCGTTATTCCCTTTTTTTAGGGTTCAGGTACCCTTCTATTTTCCTTTAAACCAAAAAGGGCGCCCTTTGTATTCCTAGGTTACTCTTGGGTCTAGTTAGGGTTTAGGGTTATAAGCCCTAAAATAAAACACCATCATGGAGACTTGTATAACCCTGGCCTTACATAACCCCTACAAGATTTCTCATATAACCCTTTCATCGACGGCGAACCCCAAAGTCTAAACGCCAAACTGCAAACCCTGCCTACACCCTCAACCCTACAACCCTAACTTTGGGTTCTACACCCGATACCCTAACCGCAAACCTTCAAAGCCCAATCCCTACCCTAAACAAAAAAGCCCAGGGATAGCCCGGCCTCGAAAAGGAGCCCTCCAAGGAGCCCTTTTGGGAACCTGAAGTGGAACCCCTTAGGCCTTCAAGGAACCCTTAAAGGAACGTTTTAGGGTTCAGGGGTTTAGGGTTTAATTATAGGGGTTTAGGGGTTAGGGGTTTAAGGTTTATAGGGTTTAGGGTTTAATTATAGGGGTTTAGGGGCTAGGGGTTTAAGGTTTATAGGGTTTAGGGTTTAGGGTTTAGGAACCCTAAGCCAGGAATAGCTCGGCCTCTGGGTACTCCAGCCACTGCGCCTGTGCCAATGCCAGCTTTTTTGGGCTCTCGCAAGAATCTCGGCAATTGAGTTTATAGATTTTCTGGGGTTTAGGGTTTACAGTCGTTTCGTTTGTAGACATTATTGGGTTTAGGGTTACAACCAATGGTCCCGGCCAACAAGTAATAGACTCCAGTAGTTGAGTTTGCAGACTTCATAGACTGTTTCCCAGCGTCTAGAATACCTGTTTATAAATTAAGGACAGTTTACGGCTGATTGATTGTCCAGGCTTCTTGGACTGTCGTTGATTGTCCAGAAACTCCATTGAAATTAGTAGCCGAGTAGGTAACCTTTACATGCATTGGTGTGCTATAGCGCGTCTGTAACCCCAATAGGTTTCCAGAGGCCTACGTAACTCCAGGGTTAAAGGTTTAGGGGTTCAGGGTTTAGAGGTTTAGGGTTTTAGGGTTTAGGGTTCCTTTAAGGGTTCTATGAGGGTTTAGGGCCTTAGGGGTTTAGGAGTTTAGGGTTTCGAGGCCTGCGTAACTCCAAAAACTCCTTATGCACAAGTGCAGGCCCCAGGATCGACCCTTCTCATGGGTTACTTGGAGGATCATGGGACTTAGTAAGTAAGGTTATAAGTACCTTAATTGGGGTTTTAAGTAGTTATAAGTATAGTTACCCTAATTATAACCCTAGTTACTAAGTCCCATGATGCTTTAAGTAAGCTTTAGTTCGCCTAGAATGCTGGACGGGTCAGTTATCGTTCTGTTATACACCCGAAGCCCCAAGCCCCAGATCCGAAGCCCTAAGGGTCCAAAGGACCCAAGAATTAGGTACTTAGGTTTCGGGTAGTAGTTATGTAGGTTACTATTTTGGAGAGTGTATGGTAATTAGCTACTTGGACTCTTAGGGAAGGCCTTATATACTCTTATAGATCCCTTCAAGGTTCCCTGAAAAGATCCCCAAGCTAAGATCAAGCGACCCTGAAAACAACAAACTAGGGAAAGTGTTGTAAGGTTCTGCGGGCCTGTGAACTCCACCCTGAACCCCTACCCTGAACCCTAAACCCTGAACCGCCAACCCTAAACCCTTAACCCGAAACCCTCAACCCTGAACCCTAAACCCCCAACCCTAAACCCTGAACCCTACCCCCAAAACCCTAAACCCTGAACCCTACCCCCAAAACCCTAATCCCTGAACCCTAAACCCCCAAAGCCCTTCCCCTGAACCCTCAACCCCCAACCCTAAACCCCGATCCCTCAACCCCCAACCCTAAACCCCGATCCCTCAACCCCCAACCCTAAACCCCGATCCCTAAACCCCCAACCCTAAACCCCTGAACACCGTTACTCTGTGGACTCCACAGCTAAGGAAGCGGTGGGGAGACAGTGTGGGGTGGACAGGGAGGCTGGGCGTCGATGCGGGGCCAGGCTTCCTTTTCAGGGATCCGTAAGGGTGGGCTCTTTAGGGTTCAGGTTTTAGGTTTAGGGATCTATACGGGCTCTTTTGAGGGATCCTTGAAGGGTAGCATGGGGCTTCGTTTAAGCAGGTCACTACGGGCTTCCTTCTTCGGGTAGTATAAGGCTTCCCTTACGGCATTGTAGAGGTTCTTTCCTCCCTTCAGGGGTCCATACGAGTTTAGATGCGGGTGTAGCGCTCATAGGGTTTCGGGAGAGGTTTCTTGCGCGCTCAAGGTTTCAGGACGTCAGGATTAAACTCGCAGGGTTGAATGCCTTAGGTTTAGGGCTCAGGCTTTCACAGAAGTTTAGGAGTTAATTACGAACTATAGGGTGTGACAAGGTTTTTTTGTGGGATATTTTGGGAGTGTTCGGCTTGTTGGTATACGGAGTTCAGATGGTTATTGTTTCATTGTTTCACTGTTGGCTTCTACTGCAATGGGCCAGGGAATATGGTAAGTAGGGTAGAAGATTAGCTTGCTGAGTACCCTGAATCAATTGCGCTTGGCATGTTCATAAACTTGCTAGACACATACGGTAGACACATATGGTCATACCTGACCTACTCGGTTCAGGGGCTATAGTGCTCCAGATTTTAGGAAGAGGGGACTGGTCTTCATATCTTCCTATAAATCCCGCCTGTTTGTTCACTTGCGCCTTCTATGTTTCTGCGTGTCTCCAGCTTTAATGACCTCAAAGCTTATTCAAACTGCTTAGGCATCTCATGACAGGCAGAGAGCTGCGGAGGTGCCAGCCTCTTCTTCGCGCCTCTCGTGTCGCGGCGAACAGGGACATCCTCACATGAAAGGGTACCATGGGGCTCTATAATAGGCTTCCCTTTAATCGAAGAGTTCCCATGATTGTTGATTTTTGGTTTGCTTTGACGGCTTGCGGTGAAGGTTTCACTGTTTTCGGTGAAATAAGGCGTCTCATTGTTGTCGACGTGTGTGTGTGTGTGTGTGTGTGTGTGTGTGTGTGTGTTGTCGTTTTCTCGTCGTAGCAGTAGTTCAGTACTGAAATTACCAGTGGAGGCAGTTGCAGCACACAGATGACAGCAACAGCAGGCAGACCCACCAAGGAAGACTGCAGCAGTAGCCTGTGCGACATGGCTACCGACTGTGACTACAATGATATCCTTGAGCTCTACCATCGGTTTGACGCAGAAGTAGATGTGCGCTTGCGTGTGTGTGTGTGTGTGTGTGTGTGTGTGTGTGTGTGTGTGTGTGTGTGTGTGTGTGTGTGTGTGTGTGTGTGTGTGTGTGTGTGTGTGTGTGTGTGTGTGTGTTGTGTGTGTGTGTGTGTCTGTGTGTGTGTCTGTGTCTGTGTCTGTGTCTGTGTCTGTGTCTGTGTCTGTGTCTGTGTCTGTGTCTGTGTCTGTGTCTGTGTCTGTGTCTGTGTCTGTGTCTGTGTCTGTGTCTGTGTCTGTGTCTGTGTCTGTGTCTGTGTCTGTGTCTGTGTCTGTGTGTGTGTGTTCTGTGTGTCTGTGTGTCTGTGTGTCTGTGTGTCTGCGTGTGTGTGTGTGTGTGTGTGTGTGTGTGAGTCTGCGCAAGAAGATGTATGTAGACTTTACACATAGTGTGGTTTCCCCTTATCTCGCGTTGGTGTTATCGCTCTGCATGTTCATCTGGATCTGGAGCTAGCTGGATCTCGATTTGGATCTGGATGTGGATGTGTATGTCTATGAGTATGTGTCTCTGCGTCTCTGTGTGTGTGTCTGCGGAAACTATATATGTGCAGGCAGACGAACGACCAAGACCCGATCTGAGGCCAATGTGTCCGCTCGAATCGGGCGGAAGCACTTCCACAGCGTGCCTTGACCGAACTCTGATAGCTTGGCCTGCACCCCAAAGAGTCCTAAGTAGGCATCTGTAAGGGGTCCCTTTTAAGGATGCCTTTAAGGGGTCACGAGGGGTACGATTATGGGGATACTTACCCAAACTATTGTAGTCATTCCTATTACAGAACTCTTTCTTTCTACTATCCATTGTATCAACTAGAAAGTGGGCTGCTTTGCCTTCTGCCTGATATGACACAAGCCTATAGTACCAAGTATTTTAATAACCCGAAGACATAAGTAACTGGACCCCCTCAAGGCCGCGATGGGCTCAGGATTTACGATGTGGGGCTCTGGGTCCATGATCGAGGGCTTTTTGGAGGGTTTAGGGTCCAGCTAGGGGTGTAGGGGTTTTAGGGTTGAAGGTTTGTTGTATAGGGTTTAGGATTATGTAGGGGGTTTAGGCTTTAGGGTCTAGCATGTAGGTTCAACGGTTCTCGGCTTTACGGATACAGGGCTTAGGGCTTAGGTTGACAGTGAGTGTTGGGGCCGAAGGTCCGCGTGTAGGTTTCCAGGCTTTAGAGGGCACTAAGGCTTCAGGCGTTTTTTTTTTTTTTTTGCTATCTTGCCCTAAGGGTCCATGTGCCCAAACAATATAGTTTGGCCTTTAAGTACGCTCTACATTGGGCCCTAAGTATATACTATTTGGGTACATGAACCCTCTGGGTTGAGTACATATACTCTAGGGGCCGAAATAATCCCTAAGGCTCCATGTACCCATATAGTAGGTACTTAGGCCTTAAAGTCCCTACATAGGGCCCCTTTAAGGCTTAAGTATCTACTATAATGGTACATGGAGCCTTTGGGAATTACCAATAACATATTTTGGGGGGTTCCTTATGATAAGTATACTACAATGAGCCCAAAACCCTATTCTAATTATTAGGCCCCTATATTGCCAGTTCCAGCTGGGTTCTCGGAACTCAGCCCTCTTCTGGCATTTGACCTTTGACTTCCTTGATGCTACGGTGCCAAATACGCGGCTGCAGTGAAAGAGAAGTCCCACACCCAGAATGCCTGCTTATTTAGTGGGACTTTAATCGTTATTTGCTAGGCCTTAGCCCCAAAAATCTCTAAATTGTTCCCCGACCTGACGCCCGCGCCATGGGCTCCCAGAACAACCGGAAGACTATGCCCAGGATATCCCGGGATTGACGAATTCCGTCTCTGTTGGCCTACAACCCAGCACGCCAGAATCCTAAGACCATAAGCTCCAAGACCGTACATAAAGCCATAAGCCCCAAAATCCTGCAACCATAAGCCCCCAAAATCCTAAAACCATAGGCCCCAAAGTCCTAAAACCATAAGGCCCAAAAATCCTAAAGCCATAAGCCCCCAAACCAGAAAGCCAATTCAAGGACGGGAGCAGCCGCCTCTGGTCCTTTGAGAACCGAAGCTGTCCCAGCAGTGCTTCGGTCCACTTCACTGCACCCGTGTCGGAGGCTTTGTCATAGTTGGGTAACATTTTACAATGTTTTATGGGTACTTACATTTGGTAACATTTTACATTCTTATGGGTACTTAAACCCAATAAGGAATATGAAAATGTACATTTTTAATCCTATCCCAACCATGAACTAGGAGGGGCGAGACTACGTGCTCCGCATGGAGGCCGGCACAGGCTTTAGGGTTTAGGTTGCAGGGTTAGTTTTCATAGGGCTTATGGTTTCGTTGTATAATGGATAAGTTTTGATAAGGTTAAGATTGGGGCAAGAACAACATCAATGATGCGAACAAACAAACATGCAGCATACTGGTTCTAGCCATTGCAACCGCAGCTAGCGTCATGGCATTGTAGTACGGGGTTTTCGGCAGCTGGTGACTGGTCCTGCGTGTCTAGGAGTGCGGCGGAAGCGAAGTGCCGATGAAGCAGTGCACCCCTACTGCTCCCAACATGGGCTGAAAGCACCTAAGAGAAACGTGAGGGCCCAAATAGTTACCAATACTGTTTTGGGTGTTCCTCATAGTTTTGTAATCATACTACGTTCCTTATAATATTGTAATCATACTACATTATACCCCAAAGCCCTGTTCCAGATAGTAAGGCCCGTACATTAGGCAGTCGGGCTGGGAATGGTAGGCTAGCAGTAGTTGTGGTCAGTTTGCGTTGGTGGGGGCAAGGGAGAAGGGGGCGAACCTTTAGCAAACCTCTACACCTAACAAAAATTGATAGGTCTTTGAGCGGTAAATGCTCCGGGACACTGACACTGACCCGTCTCAGCAAAAGGGGCAGAAGCCAGTCTGGTCAAACCATGCCTGGGGGACTTTGGGTTTTGCGGCTGTTGGGTTTCGGGTGCAAAAGGGGTTCAATTCGGGTTGAGTGTTTAGGGGGGTGTAGAGGGTTGCAATGATACTGGTGTTTGACATCAATGCTGGGACATCAGTATTCAACAGAACCCGGCTCTTGAAACCCCAAACCCGAGGTAGGATTGGAGGCTGTTACCCTACTCCACCCACATTTGGAGAAGGAGAGGACCCTTTTGTTTCCCTGTGGCCATGTGCTCTTTGTCCTGGCGCAAGGCACGAAGATCCTTGCGGCCAGAGTCCGGACGTCCAGCTCCGGTTCTGCAGCTGACGAGTCTTAACGATGTTCTTTCTGTGTTGTCTCTTTAGGCTTTATGGCACTTGATGGTTTAGGGCTGAGGTTTTAGGGTATAGTGTTGGGGGTTTAGGGTTTATGAAGTGTCCCAGAACCGGTGGAACCTCAAAGCCCTAAGGCCTTGAATCCTGAACCGCCAACTTGCTGAGGAGCTTTATAAACCTTTAGCCTTTGGGTTCAGGGCTTACCATAACCCCTGAAAAACCTACCTCTTTGGCGCTCCTTGTCATGATTTCTTGGTGTAACTCCCTGATTAAGATGTGGTTTCGGTGGTTAAGGTAGGGGTTACTGTAACCCTGAACCACAACTGCAGAGGTTGCAGAACCAATGCATATGTCTCTGGTACCACAGCCTAGCAACAAGCACCCGCCACGTACCAATACTTTCCCTCCGTCTTCACCAGAAATCCCACCATGATAGCATTACAAGCGTCCCCACTGCAACTTAGCTGGAGGTCAATGCTATCTTTGCAGTATCTCCATCCAAAAAGGAGTTGCCTGGCCCGTAATCCCCTCGTAGTAAACCACGACGACCATCTGCAAGCACTATGCAAAATAGGAGCGTACTGCTGATGGACAAAATCCTGTATGACCCTAAGGACTCTAAACTATGGGAACTATGGTATCTTCCTTCTAATGGGTAATGCAGGATTTTGTCCATCCGCAGTATGACTACCAGACATCCTATATGTGAGACCCATAACCGGTCGTCCGACAGGTCATTTTGGAAATCCCACTAAGGCCCTAGTTATAGAAATCAGACCCCGGAGTGGGTGCTGTGTGTATACTTCCAGGGGACTTCGTAAGTCGGGTATGATTAAAAGTAGGGTTGTAATTGGGGTAACTCCGTTCGGGGTACTTATAACGATGGTACTTATAACCTACTTACTAAGTCCCTTGGGCCTCTAAGTAGTCCTACAAATTTGAACCCTATAGATCCCTGTAAGGAACCCTAAAGATCCCTATAAGGAACCCTAAAGATCCCTTTCCGGAACCCCATAGATTCCTTTAAGGAACCCTATAGATCCCTTTAAGGAGCCCTATAGATCCCTTTAAGGAGCCCTTTAAAGGAAGCCTAAGTCGGGATCTGTGAGGATCGGCAACAGCAGCTTCGAGAAGCCCGTGCAAGCGCAGCCCATGCAGCGGTGGCACTGGCTCCAGCAGCAGTCACTCGCTTCGGTTTAGGGTTCAGGGTTAGGGATTGGGGTTCTGGGTTTAGGGATAAGGGTTTGGGGGTTAGGGGTTAGGGTTTAGGGTTTATGGCTCCAGCAGCAGTCACTTGGGTGGTTGTCAGTATTACGGTCCTTTTTTGGGTCCTTATTATAATACGGCACCTAGTATGTAGGGTACCCAAAAAGGGACCCTAATTTTGACAACTACCCACTTGCTTCGGTGTTCAGGGTTTATGGCCTGGGATCGATAGCATCCGACTCCGACCCTCGTGTACCGGGCCGCGACGAATTCCCTGTGACATAAGAAGCCGCGGTATTTTTTACGACGGATTATTCTAAACCTTTAAACTTTGGGATCAAGGTTTACGGGGCTGGCTTTCATGCTTGTTGTCATGTACCACCGCGACCCTCCTTACGGCTTCGTTGTCCTGTACACGGATACCTTCTGCGGGGCTCCAAAGCGCAACAGGCTGTAACAAACCGTAAAGCCTAAATCCCACACCCTACACACCCTAAGCCACAAATACTATGCCTTAAACACCCGACACCCGATAAATTCTACACCCTACACATCGTAAACCCCCTTTTTCTTACACCTTCAACACCGTAAACCCCTTAAATCCGACTCCCCAAACACCGCAAACCCCTTAAATCCTACACCCTAAACATCGTAAACCCCTTAAATCCTACACCCTACTGAGTTGTATATTCAGACCCGAAGCGATGTCAGATGTTCCGACGCGGAGCTCGCCCTGACCCTTTGACTTTAGTTTGCAACCCCTAATAAGGGGACTAAAGGGTTCCTTTAAAGGGTTCCTTTAAGGGTTTCTATAAGGATTCTGAAAGGGTTCTAAGTTCTAACTATAGTCCTTAGAGGCCCAGCGGATTTAGTACGTAGATTATAAGTAGAGTTAGAGGTACCCTAAATGGAGATACCCCAATCATAACGCTACTTATTACCGACTTACTTAGTCGCCTGGGCCTCCAAGTAGAGATTCAAAGAGCTTGTTTCTTGCTGCGCTCGTATAGGGTTTCGGGGCTGAGATAAGGTATGATTGGCCTTGAGCCCAACAGCCCCAGATAGAAACTTTATCGCTTGGACCAGTCCACGAAAACCCTTCAGCCAAATCCCAAACCCGTAAGGCTTAAACCAAAATTCCCAAGGCCGAAACACAAAACCGACTAAACCCAAAAATCCTACAACCCGAAACCCTATCCCGGACCATTTACAGGAACCTTATCCAAGCTTCAACACTGCAACAGAGAAGGTTTCGAGGCATCTCGCAGGGGATGGAGATCAGGATGCTCGGCTGTACCGATTCGTCTATCTCGTGGAGGGTTTAGGGTTTGGAGTTTTATTGTTTACAGCTTCTCCAATACATGATTTAGGTTTGAAAGAAAATTCTGACCCCATATGCAGCCCAAGGGTAAATTAATTGATTTGAGACTGTGCTGTGATAGGCCCTAAAAACCTCTTCCAACTAGCCCCATAGACTAAATTGTATTCGCCACCTTGAAGATACAGAGCATGGCATGTTACAGGGCTCTACAAGGGTTTCGGGTTGTCGCGATCAGGTTTAGGGCGCAGGCTAGGTTTCTGCAGTGGTTTGTTGAAGGTTGAAAACCCTGAACGCTAAACCCTAAACCACTGAACATCCCCAAACCTAAAGCCCTAAACCCTAAGCCCCTAGCCCCTTAGCCCCTAAACCCTTCAATCCCCAAACCCCCAAGCCCTAAGTGGTAGAAAGCCAAGCGAGGATTCGCCTCGAGCCCGATACCTGCGTGGACCTCGGGCGTGTTGAACTGGCAGCCTGTCCCGAGCCTTTGCAGCAAGGGGCCATAATCTGCGTTGTCCTTTCGGATCTACTTTCATTTCGACTATTTTTTGTAGAGAACCTTAATAGCAAAAACAAATCAAAGGGCTTGATGGACAACTCAGTAATCAGAATATGGTGTTCAGGCTCGGTTTCGGGTGGTTTCAGGGTTTGGGGTTTATAGAGTCTTCGGGTTGAGAGAGAAGGAACTTGGAGTTCCGGCCTTTGAGTTTTGATATGTGAGGGTCAGGGCCTTCGAGTTTCGGAGTGTTGGGGTTAAGCCCGAGGCCCCATAGTAGTTCCTTTTTGGGATTGCCTTATAGGGTTCTATATATGAAACCTAAAACGGAACTACTTTGGGGCCTTTGGGTAGAGCCTTCCAGTGTGGCGTTTAGGGCCTCGGTGTTTCCGCGTTCGAACTGACGGCCCAAGTTCGGGGTTTAGGGTTTAGGGTTCGACATGCGTGGACATGGACAGGAAGAAGGTTATAAGTAGGGTTATAACTGGGGTAACTCCATTCAGGATACTCAGAGCTCAGAACTCTTCGTGTGAATGGTATGACCGAGACGAAGGCTGACACTCAAACTGCTGGTCTGGAGAATGCCCTACAGAAACCCTGCAACTCTGTGCCCTAGCCCTAAGACAGCAGCACTTTCGACCTGAACCACTTCAAGGCAACACCTTAGACATAATCTTGCGACGAACCCTAAACCCTAAACCCTAAACCTAACCAGGGTCCGGTTCTCAGCCCTAGGGATTTTGGAAACTTGAAATAGGGTTTAGGGTTTAGAGTTTGCGGTATAGGGGATCAGGGTTTAGGGGATCAGGGTTTAGGAGCCCTTGGTCCTTGAAGGAACCGCTAAGCCTAAGCCCTTCTCCCCAAACCCCAGGCTCTGAACCGCAAACTCCAAGATAGGGTCCGACACCTTATAATCCTCAAATCAAAGGGGAAAAGGAGGGACCCTTAATGGTGACCCTTACCGTATAATGGGCTTTATAATGGGTATATAATAGCTATATCAAGGGTATATACCTAGGGGTCCTTATTAAGGGTCCGTCCTTTTGCCCTTGGATTAGAGCTTAAACCCTCACACAAAACTCTAAACCCCAATTAGAAGCCAGGATCCTAAACCCCCAAACAACCTCAAAGCTCGGAAAACCCAAAAAACCTACGGGTCCAGAGGAAGAAGTACTTGGACCCTTACCCTAAACCCTAAACCCCTAAACCCCTAAAGCCCTAAACCCTAAATCCCTAAACCCCTAAACCCCTAAACCCTAAACCCTGAACCCCTAAACCCTAAACCCTGAACCCCTAAACCCCTACACCCCCAAACCCCGAAACCCGAAACCCTAAACCCCTAAACCCTGAACCCCTAAACCCCTACACCCCCAAACCCTGAACCCCTAAACCCCTACACCCAAACCCCGAAACCCTTAACCTCTAAATCCCTAAACCCCTAAACCCCTAGGGCAAGACGAAACCCAGGATCGGTCCCTTCAGTCCGAAAAGATCTCGGCTTTTGCCCTTTCCACAGCCGCTCACCTGGCCCTGGCTTCCCGCTTCTTGGAGGGTTAAGGGTTATATGGGAGTTTCCGAAAATAGGGGACCTTAATATAGTACCCTAAATAGTAAAAAATAAGGTACACCTAATTTTCGGAAACTCCCATATACTTTAATCTGCAAGCCCTAAACTCTAAAACCCTACCTACGTTTTTGTATGGTCCCTGTTACTCCCATATTAAGGTGTATATTGGACCAATTTTTCGCGATTCAAGGTTTGGGGTTGAGGGACTTACAGCTTTAATTTGGTGTTAAGCGATTTAGGGTTTAGGGGTTGTGGGTTCAAGAGTACGGTTTAGGGATTCGGGGTTCATTTTCAGGGATTTGGTTGTAGGTACATAGGGCTTTCAGATTTAGGGCATTTAGGGTTGAGGATGGGGCTTAGGCTGCACCTTACCCCAAGGGTCCAAAGGACCCAATAATAAGGTACACGGTTTTAGGATAGTAGTTATGTAGGCTAGGATTTTGGAGAGTATATGATTATTGGGTACTTGGACCCTTGGGGCTAGAACTATAGGCTTGAGGGCCCAGAGTGGGTATTGTTGACACCTCAGTAGCCTCAGGGCTCGGGAGTTTTGGACTAAACTCGACACTCCTTCTCCCCAAGCCTTCGAAGCAATGGTAATAGCAATAATCATCATAAAAATTTCAATACATTAATAATAATAAAATAGTAATAGTAATAATAGTAATATAAATATTAATACCATTAAACTTAAACAAGATGTCCTCGGCCCAGTACCTCGCGGGGTTCTGGGTCGAAGAGGGAGTCGGGCCCTGGAGCTCGGGAACTCGTAGGGTTTGTTACTTTAGGGTTCAGGGTCAAGGGTTTATAATTAGAATCTGTTTTTACTTAAAAACTGGATTTGATTAAAAACTGTTTAGTTGTTAATTAAAAACTGTTTTTTAATTGAAAACAGTTGTCAAAATTAAGGCCCCTTTTTGGGTCCCTACTATAATGCGGTACCTATTATTTAGGGTACCCAAAAAGTTACATTAATGTTTTACAGCCACCAATATGATTTGGAGTCCATGGTTTCTGGCATTGTGCGCCAAGAATACGCAGGCCTAGCATGCTTTTCGCCTTGCATTCGAACTGCCGTGCATATTGACATGATGATACTGTTGATGGACAAACTCCTGCATGACACATTATTAGGAATATACCATAGTTCCCATAGTTTAGAGTCCTTAGGGTCATGCAGGATTTTGTCCATCAACAGTAGGGTACCTATACGTCTTCTTATAACCTACTAAGTCCGCTGGGCCTCCAAGTAGAGACTCACCATTGACCCTGCAATATTGCTTTGATCACAGACAGGCTCGAGGTGTCGACATGTAGAGGTGCTTCAAGCGATCATTTGTAATCATGTCCCCGAAAGCTCACTAGATGCCTACCCGTATGACGCTGCGAGAGTATACCCCAAAACCCTTTGTCTACTTTTTGTGATCAATGAATCACCCCAGCATGCGCTTCTTCATCAGGTACCAAGTTTGGCCGAACGCCTATGGGGCACACCATTAACAACTTATTGGTTCTGCTAAGGATCAACGCGGACTAAGTGGCAGTCAGAGGTTGTAATTTAGCTGGGTTGATAAGCACCCAATTGCTGTTGTGACGTGTAATTATACCCCAGCTCAGATCCTCATAGCGAAGTCCCCGTGTTCAATTGAAATACAGCACACAACTACAACTTTTGCAACAGCCGTGTGCAAGATTGCATGAAGCCCTATCGAATGCCGTAGTCCTCAATGAAACCTTCGATACCCTGTGCCAAGGATCACACGAACAAAGGCTGGCCGACACTTGCTTTTAGGATAGTAATTGTTAATTTAAGTTAGCAATTCGGGGAGTATATGGTCATTAGGCATTTGCACCCGCAGGGTTTTGTCTGCTGAAAAAAGTGCAGTTTGATTTTTGCTGTGTAGGGTTCGGGGCTTAACTATTTCAGTCGACTTGTGCATGCAGCCGTCGATGCCACGTGGACCCGTAGCTGGGCCTTCCTCAGACCCTTATGCAGGATCCTGATTCAGAAACCTTGGGCCTTCATTAGGGTTCCTTAAATGAATCCTACTACATTGGGGGTGATAGGTGGGCCTTTATTAGGGTTCCTTATGTGAACCCTACTACATTGGGGGTTATAGGGCCAGGGTTTCTTCATCAGGTTCCTACATTAATAGTCCTTCGCATTTCCAAGCTTGGTTGAACCCTCCAAGCTTCAAATCTGAGGAACAGGGACCCCAAGGGTCCAAAGGACCCGATTATTGGGTACTCGGTTCTAGGATACTAGCTATGTAGGTTAGGATTTTGGTGAGTATATGATTATTAGGTACTTGGACCCTTAGAGGGTGTCACGAACAATTTGTGAAAAGTCTGCAAAGTCCAACCTTCTAGAATGGAAGCCGTACCCGGCATCTTAAGCCCCTGCCTTCTTGCATTGATTATGGGGACTTTCAGTGCGGTTTGCACGACAATATGTTCAACAGTCATTTTTAATTGGGGTACCCAAAAAGCACTTATGTGCTGTTTGGGGGCCCCAATTTGGTGCTTGCAGAGACGAGTCCGCCAAACAGATCGAGTTGCCGCTGTTGCAATTCCACATCAGGTCTACTACAATCAACCGTGGCCTTTCCGCAATGCGGGACATCGCTATGAAGTCTTTTTGGAAGGTGCAAATGTCTGATTCTGGCTGCGACCAGCTCGTTGACATAACCTCGGTAGCCAAAACACTCCTACGAACCCTGCAAAGCTGGCTTTTGTATGCCCTTTCAAAACCCACCTTCATGCAACTGTAGGCCTTCACTATTGTGGAATTCGGCCCCCACGAATCCATGATCGGAAGTGTCTTGATCGTAACATCTTTGGGGCTCTCTGGCTCTGGGTCATCCCCAAACCCTAAGCCGATGTCGGATGCATGTGGCCTTAAGCCCCTGAACTTGACAAAGCTCTGCAAACCCAGAGTGTTTAAACTCCATGGTGCAAGGTTCAGGGTGAGGTTTTAGGGACACCATAGCCGAGTAGCCGCGTTAATGCTGATATTCGTAAGATTAGAAAGAGCACTAGTAAAATAATGCACAGTTTAGGCCATGAGTCCGCACCTACGCGCTGAAAGCATGAAGCTGAAAACTGAGCACCAAATTCTCAACCACCGTAAACCACCCTAAACCGTCCTAAAATAAGCCATCCCAAACCACCCCAGACCAAACCACCCGACCACGCTCCTTCAAAAAAACACATTTAAAAGAAAAAAGCCTAGCAGGCTCAGAGGAGGAACCCACCTCTGACTCGGCCCAGGACAGGATCCCCAAAGAGCTACCTCATAGTATAGGGTCCTTACGGGTGTAATGTAGGAACCTGATTAAGAAACCCTGGCCCTACAACCCCAAAATACTTGGATTCATTTTAGGAACCCTTTTAAAGCCCCAAGGTTTCTTAATCAGGTTCCTACATTGGGGTTATAAGTAATATAGCGGCCTTAAGGGCTTAGGGTTTAGGGTTGAGGATATAGGGTAATATAGGGGGCCTTAGTAGTTACCAATTTTGGGGGAATGGGGTTTTAGGGGCATCAATAATCACCTGTTTTTTGGGGGGTTCCTCTTTATGGTTAAAGTATATGGGGGACTTAAGGGTTAAGGGTGAAGCAATCTAGGTAGGCGCTTTAAAAATTGAAAAAACGGGTGTTCCTTTCTATGGCAGTAGAAAGATATGTCCCAAAAGAGTCTACAAACCTACCTTTTCTGTAAAGTTTCTGTTGATTCCATATCAGGGCTTCTGATCAGAGCCTACCGAAAGAGCAGGTTATGGTAGTTTAAGATATGAAGCCTTTGTGATGTGGGGTCCGCGGTTTGGGTCATGTTAGGGTTTCAGGTTTCAGATTTTAGGGTATGGTTTGGGTTTTATGCAGCGCCACCGCGACTGGGGCCAAGAGAGCATTTACCCCAAGGGTCCAAGCACTTCATAATCATATACCCTCCAAAATCCTAACCTACACACCTACTATCCGAAAACCGAGTACCTAATCATTTGGTCCTTTGGACCCTTAGGGTCTGAAGATAGTACCCTTCAGCCCTAGACTGCAAGCACTAGACCCTGAAATTCCCGAACCCCAAACCCCCAAACCCTTAAACCCGTAAACCCTAAACCCCTAATCACCCTAATCCCTAAACTCCTAATCCCTCAAGCTAGCACTGACGAGCTTCTTTCCACGTTGTCTGTCTGTCTGCACACCACATCGGCGGCCATGGCTGCTTCTGCGAACCGCTTCAAGGCTTTGGAGCAAAGCGACAGCAGGAGTTGAGCACAGGTCCTACGCCTGGAAACCTGACAGCAAGCAGATAGTGAGGACCAAGAGGACAGCCCAGCAGAGACCTACGACAATGGCCGCAAGTGGTACCAAAAGTACGCGGTCCCAGCTGAAAGTTCGAGCCCACGAGACAGAGACGACTGAGCCCAGGGTCTTGCACGATAGGAGTGTTCTCAGAACGAACAGCAGAGTTTGAAGCTGACAAAACGACCAAGGCCTCGCCTGACAATGTATGCGTTGCTTTTGTGCTGGTGTTTGCCTCAACCCTAGGCCTCAGTCAGGGCATGTCCACCAGGGGTCCAGCTGCTATAATTAAATGATACTCACTTTGCATACCTTGCTCCGATTTGCTCCGTGTTTGCAGCTTACCCTGGCAGAGGAAAATCCGTAATCTGAGACATCGTCGTTATAACCTTTTTTCCCTTGGCAAGGCTTCGATGGTTCAGTGTTCTGTCTATGTTAGTTACGGCCTCGGTAATGTAACTGTGGTGTTGTCAGCTGCTGTCAAAGGGGAAAAGGAGGGACCCTTAATGGGGACCCCTACCCTATAGTGGGCTATATAATGGGTATATACTAGCTATATTAGGGGTATATACCTAGAGGTCCTTATTAAGGGTCCCTTCTTTTACCCTTGGATTCTGTTCTTGAAGTCAAGCCTGCATCATCTCGTTTGGGCCTCAGTCTCAGCAAACCTGTGTAAGTGAGAACTTCATGTCTTTGCAGAGGTCCCAGCAACAGGCAGATCCTGGTAAAGGCTTCTACCTGTCATGCAGATAGAAAAAGGCCTGCCAAAAAAATCCCGATCCCCTAAACCACTAAACCCGTAAACTCTGAAAACTAAACTCACTGAACCCGGAGCTGAGCTCAGGTCCTCAATGTCGTTGGACCTTCATCCCAGCCCAGGGTTTAAGGTTCATAGGGTCTGGGGCCCGAGACCACAATACATCAAAATTGAAGCCGGGGTAGATACAATACTATTCCATAGGCCTCATACCATGACTCATACTTTTTGTGATAAACTACACCCCCCAACCCTATTCCTAAGTATTAAAACCCATATTATATACTAGATGATCCCCGACTGCATCTTCCTGAGATCCCCTAAACCCTACACCCTAAACCCTGAACCCTAAACCCTAAACCCTGAACCCTAAACCCTGAACCCTAAACCCTCGTCCCTGAACCCCAAACCCTGAACCCTGAACCCGATCCCGAGATGCCCAGCAGGACACCGAAGAGTCATCAGAGGACCAGGCTCCAAAGTCCCACCTTGCAAGGGCAACAGAGAGAGGGTTTAGTGTTTAGGATTTGGGGTTTAGGATATTCGGGGTTCGGGATTTTAGGGTTTAGGGTCTAGGGTTTAGGATTTAGAGTTTAGTATTTGAGGGTTTAGGGTTTAGGATTTAGTAATTCAGGGTTTAGGATTTAGGGTCTAGGGTTCAGTATGTAGCGTTTTGAATTTAAGGTTTATGAATTCGGATGCATCGGTCGGTTTCAAGCTGGAACCTGTTCTCTGTAGCCACTCATTAGCATCGTTGGTTGTGCTGTGTGGGGCTTAAGTGTATTACTATACTATGCTGCGGATTGCACCGTTTCTTTGAAGACAATAGTCTGCTGCCATCGAATGAAGGAAAGACTCAATGATACTTCTTACATGCTTCTTTCTGACCTCAGAAGAGGTTTGAGGAGCAATGGTGTTGGACAGTCATCTTCTTCATAGCACGCGCACACACGCACACACATATTGTAATATCCATATTAATATACACACATTTTTTTGACGAAGATACACACCCAATTAGACGGTGTTTGTTTATGCTTGCTTCTGTACCGTCGTATGTACATGTTTCTTGTCTACAGAGTTTATATTTGAATCAGCAGACGCTAGCTTGCATGAAGCGCAGACTGGGTAGGCGTTTGACCCTGCCCTCCAGCCCATGGGCTCCATGACTGCCAGCCGTATCGTATCACTGATGAGACAATCTCAAAGTTTTCGCCTTCAATGCTGTAGAATCCTATTCCGGCATGTCAAACACTGGTACCTGCAAAACCCAAGCCTTCATGTTCAAACCGTATATCCCCCAGCAAACACAAAGTCCTGAACAGAAAGCTCTAAATCATAGGTGCCCCGGTGCAGTAGACAGTAGACAGTTGGCTGCTAATCCAAATGGGAATCCCTTTTCGAATTTTGGGGGGATCCTGGCTTCAAAGAAGTGGAGTTTGGAGCCCTCTTTGCAGGGCGCGCAGTAGTGGAACCAGCCATGCGCCAAACCCCAAACGCAGCCAATCGCCTGAAGCCTAATCCGTGAACCTGAAACTCTGCACGACAAACTATAGATGGTCTTTGAGCCCAAAAGCCTTAATATATGAGTCCTTGGAGTCTCGATGTTGTAGCTTCTGGTTACAACAACGCTCACATTGGATGCCTCACCACAGGAATTAGAGATCAAGGACCTGAGGAAGCAAGTTCAGAAGGCGAGTTATTTTTTCTCTGGCGGGGGTTTAGGAATTATTGGGCGCTCCTTCAAGGGGAAGAAACAGGGTACTATACGGGTTCTTTGTGGATTCCATTTCGAATCTAGATTGTCAGAGGTTCATCATGCAACAATTTAAATTCTGAGGGCTCATTATTATAACTATTCTGTGCCATACGCCATGGTCCTTTTCTGATCCCCGATGGTACTTTTCAAGTACCTAGTGGCTTTCAGGGGTGAAGTCCCGGTTTGCACACGCTTGCCGGCGAAAGTATGAGAAGCCCGAGCCCTGAAACCTTAGGGGTACTTAGAAATACTTTTTAGTTTTTGGTTATTATAATCCCTAAGAAGCACCTGAATTTGTAATTTCTGCTAGGGTTCTAAGTTCAGTATAGTCATGATGCGATAGAGATCCTAAACCTTGACATCGGGCCTGGCAGGATTCAGGCGTGTTGATGCTGAGGCGTAGGAATGCTAAACTGCTAAACCCTAAACCCTAACCCCTAAACCCTAAACCCTAAACCCTAACCCTGCCTAAACCCTAAACCCTTGTAGAAGGCCTCAGCAGGTGTCGGGTTTAGGACGTAGGCTGTATGTTATGTCAGGACATGCAGGCATGTGCTGCAGGTTCTACCCTGAAGCGCCCAGTTCCCAAGACCCTAGACCCAAACCCCAACGCGGAATCTCTGTTTCTGACCAGGGCTCCCCAAGCATCCTGTAAGAGGGATTTTGGCAATTAGGGGTATCATTATAATACTGTTGATGGACAAAATCCTGCATTACCCATTATAAGGAATATACCATAGTTCCCACAGTTTAGAGTCCTTAGGGTCATGCAGGATTTTGTCCATCAACAGTATTTCTCCTTGCTTAAGAGGTAATCGTGGGCTACATGCAGGGCAGTTTGGGTGTTCAGCTCAGGGATGATGAAAACCGATACTTGACCTGTTACGCGGTAAGTCAGGGATGCAAAACAGGCTAGCCGGGGTGTGTAGGGATCATGTAGGACCTAAATCCTAAACCCGGAGACCCAAATCCTAAACTCGAAACACCCCAATGACCCAAAACATAAACCCTTTAGAACGCATATGGAACCCGTAAAGAAACCGGTAAGAACCCCCTTTAAAAGGTACACGAAGCGTTACTTACAGGAGGGGAACTAGTAAGTCGGTTCTAATTGGGGTAACTCCACTTAGGGGACTTAGAACTCTACTTGGGTAGTTGTCAAAATTAAGGTCCCTTTTGGGGTACCCTAAATATTGGGTGCCGTAGTATAACAGGGACCCAAACAGGGACCTTAATTTTGACAACTACCCACTTATAACCTACTTGTTAAGTCCCCTGGGCCAACCCTAAACCCTAAAGCCCAAACCGTAAACTATCGCAGGACCAGGAGAAGATGGAGGAACTTGAGAGCCAAGCTCAGGTCGCTGAGGCCCAGAAGGAGGTGGGGAAGCCCGAAAAATGTGGTCGGGTTTAGGGCTTAGGGAGGGAAGCCCGAAAAGTCTACTGTAGTTGCAGTATAGGATTATACAGTACAGTAGAGGTATAGTATAGCTTAGTATGGTATAGTACAGTGTTGTGTACTGTGGTATAGCATAGTATAGTACAATATAGCATAGTATAGGTTAGTATATAAGATGGTATGGTAGTATAGTAGAGAATAGTGATTCCCGAGCCCTCAACAACATGCTAAACTAGTTCCCGAAACTCTGGGCTGGAAGAGCCCAATAGGATCTATGGGATTTTAGGTGTTTTTGTGTTCAAGGTTGAATATCCTAGCTTAGGGTATGGTTCCTAAGCCCTCAACCCTAAACTTTCCAAGATACGCAATCCCGAAACCCTGGTGAGCTCAGCAAGCAAGAATAAGCTGTATTTTTCCAAACCCTATAAGCCCAGCATCGCATACGGTTTAGGGTTCAGGTAGAAGCCCCAAACCCTCCAACACTCCCACATGCACTAGGATCCTCTAAGGTACCCATATTAAAACCGAATACTAGAAAACAAAAACGTGCCCTTATTCTTAAGGGGCCACTGGGGAACCATAAAGGCCGATGGTTTCTTAGTCAGGGTCCTCTATATATATATATATATATATATATGTATAATATATGTAATATATACATATATATACATATATATATATAACCCTCCCCCCAGGAAGCGGAGGAGGCTTCCACAGCGGCCAAGGCAGAAAGCGGAAAAGCGGTGGGCCCAAGCTGGGTTTCCGGGTTTTAGGTTTTCTGGTGTTAGGGTTTCGGATTTTAGGGGTTGGGGTCTTAGAGTTCTTTAGCATTCTTTGGTCTGTTTTCGGGTTCATGGATTGCTTTCTGGATTTTTGGCCGCGGCCTGGTAGGTAAAACGCTGTGAAAAGCGGAACCTGATGTGTAGCCTCCACCTGAAGCTTTGCCGTGCCTTTCTGTTGAAACCTGTATAACAAACATTCCATTATACAGAGGGTATCGTACTTATGAGTTACATATATAGTCCATATAATTAACCGTACTAAGCGTATACCATCGGCACAACCCTGAAGCACCTACCAGACAAGCCAAAATCCAAACGCACAGCAGTACTGCCGAAACCCGGAACCCTAAACCCACAACACAAAGGAAGGTAGAAGCCTTCAAACAAAATAACTACAACACGACTGTACTCAAATACTGGCTTCTTTGGACCCCTAGGGCTAAGCCCTGGGACCCCTTGATAGTCCCTGCCGCAAAGTACCATAACATGACTTTATTGAAGGTTCTGGTTATACTCACCAAAGAATATATCAGGACCCTACCAAAAAGTAGGTTTTGGTATGTTTTGGCAAAAGATGACACAATATACCGCAACACACTGTTCCAGTTATTAAGTTCGATAAAGCTACTTCTCTGCCAAGGTCTCCGGATGGGTCTTCGTACTGCTGGCCGCCATAGCCTGCTGCCTAGATATGGGGGTTTCCGGAAATAGGGGGCCCCAAGATAGTACCCTAAATAGCTGGACCCTTATTGTCAGGACCCCAAAATAAGGTAACCTTTATTCTCGGAAACCCCCCCTGGAAAGGAATTTAGATCCCCGCAGAAGGGCGAGCTTCTATGGGGGTTTAGGGATTTTTGGTTTCGGGTTGACCGGTTTAGTGTTTAGGGATTTTTGGCTTAGGGATTTTTGGTTTGGGGATTTTTGGTTTAGTGTTGACGATTTCGAGAGGTTTGGGCCCAACCACAAAGCCCGGACGGCTCCAAACTCTTCTGCAATCTACAAAAGCGAGCCCGAAACCTCTGAAATCCCTGCATCGCGAGGTCGGAATGGCCCTGGCATCTATACCGCTGATACCGAAGATAAAGGCTGGGCTCACGGCGCTTAGATTTCAGGATGCAAGGTGTACCTACGGGATCTGGGGACCAATATTCGGGTGTAGGGACTTCAAGGGTTTAGGGATTCGGGTCCCGGAGTTCAGGACTTTTTAAGAGGAGTTTCATATACTTGCTGCACTTACCATTATCACCTTACTTGCTAAGTCCCCAGATCCTAGAAGCCCGAACTAAACCCTCATAGGTATTCTCTCCTTAACTTCTTAAGGAGCCCTTTACGTTCAGCCTTTACGGAGCTTTCCCGTCTTGCGGAGACCGCTTCGGGTCTGATAGAAAGTTAACCCTACCTTGAGCCGGAATAACCTCCCTTTTTAAGGACTTATATAAGGAAATCATAATAAGGAACCCTAAAAAGGTAGGTTATTCCGGCTTAGGGTAACCCGCAGGGTCCGAAGGAGCCAATAAGAAGGCACGTGGGTTTAGGTTTCAAGTGTAAGGTTTAGGCTTTTTTTAGCTACGTAGGTTACTGTTTGGGAGAGTATATGAGTTCCAGATGCTTGGACCCGTAGGGTAATCGCCGAACCCAAGCGCTGCCATCTTTGTGCCTCAAAGCCTCTTCCTTGAACTCTAAATGCCCTACAATACTTAGGCCCAGGGGACTTAGTAAGTCGGTTATAGGTAGGGTTATAACTGGGGTAACTCCATTTAGGGGACTTATAACTCTACTTATGACCTACTTCCTAGGTCCCGTGCCCCTCCAAGTAGAAGCCTAAGCATTTCTTACTGGTATTTTCCCCTTGTCCCAGTGGTACAGATTGGCTATCATACTTTCCCCAACAGCCTATTGACTCCAAATCCGAATTCTAATTGTTGCGGCCTCCTTTTTGCAACCCCTGAACCCTTGCGCAAGTCCGTTAGTCCCAAGTTCGAAGCTTCTGTATCATGAAAAGGTCAGGAAAGCTATAGTAGTGCTGTTAACAGTCCCCTTTTAGTCCTCTTGACGGCCATGTCATGCGTTACCCAAAGCCCTTATATAGAGCCGTAGGCCTTGATAACCCTACAAGAGCCTTGTCAAGACCCCTGTACATTGCCTGATGTCTAGCCTTAGACCTTCTCGTAGACCCTTCATTAGGGTTAAGAGGTCTAGGGTTTCGGGGTTTAGGGTTTTCGGTTTGGGGATCAGGGTTTTGTGCGAGGCCCTTGCTGCACACCAAAAAGCCCTTTTCTAGTTATTGAGGCCCCGACAATAACTCCTTATAATCGCCCTCATAGTCGCCCTTATAGACCCGTTTAAAGGATATCCCCCCCCAAAAAAAAAACCTAATAGTAACTAGCCCTTATAGACCCTTTTAAAGGAAGCTCCCCAAAACCCTTTTCTAGTTATCAAGGCTCTTGCATCACCGTCCGTCGCTGTGTCCTGACAGGCCGAGCTGGAAAAGCGCAAGGTTGCGGGGAAAGGCCAGGGGCCCCTCAGCTCAAATGGAGGTTTAGGGGTTTACTAAGGATAACACTAACTATATGCAATGATTTGGGGGGCTCCCTTATAACGGATACAGCATAATATGGCCCAAATTCGGTTTTCAAGTTCTTGAGGCTTGTATATTGCGGTTGAGGGGTTTGGGGGTCTACTATGCCATGCTTTTGCCTTAGATTTCTAGTGAGCTGCGGGTTGAATCGTTTTGGACAAGATTTAGGAACCGGAAGGTATATTTTCCTTAATTACGGCTGGTTAATTTCCATCCGGCCCCCTTGTTTCCGAGGTCTGCGGAAGCTGAGCCAAAAGCTGCTGCCAAGGCTGCGTACTTTCTAAGTCTTAGGAATTCACGGTTTAGGGTTAAGGGTTAAGGGTTTAGGGGGTAGTTCGAAATAGTTCTTCAGTCCTGGCTACTATAAGCCCTAAGAGGCAGCTTAAACTTCAGTTTTGCAAGGTTGCCAAGTTCAGGATAGCCTTGACTGTCAGCGGGAAGTCACGGGATATAGTATAACATCGCAACTATACTGGTTTGCATACAAGGAAGGTGGAGTACTAATCAGAGCAGCGCGCCCAGGCAGTACCTCCCGACCGAACACTGCAAAGTCAGAACAGACACAAAGCCCAGCCCTCCCTCAACCCTAATCCCTATCTTAAGCTACCATAACCTGCTTTTTCGTAGGTTCTTATTGCAGACCCCAGTGCAGAATTTGTGGGGACCCTGCAATAAAGTACTTGTAGGGTTGAGTAGTGCGAGGTAGGTCCTAAACTGATCCAAGCCTCAAAAGCAAAGGCCAGAGCTTTGGGGCCCTTGCGTTGGCTTGCAGCTTAGTTTCCGTTTAGGGTTTAGGGTTCAAGGATACACAGTTTAGGGTTTCGAGTTGGGGTGTAGGAGTGTAGGATTGCTTCAGATAGTCTCCTGAAGCATGAAGCCTCTAGTCCTGAAGCTCTCAGCATACCCAAATCTTCCAAAATCCTTTAGTTCAGGAAAATACCTTCAATCATATTTGGGGTCCTACGATATTTTGAGGTTTACTCAGTCTATCTATTAATAAATTTTGGAAGATCTGGACCTTAGAACGAGTCCCCAGTTTTCCGAGTTCTTGGTACCCAGGCCAAAGGCAAGGCCAAAGCCAAAGGAGGTGGCAAAGGCCAGCAAGTCTCACCGGCGACACTGCAGGCTGGAAAGGGTTTAGGGGTTGGTCGCTGGGTGTAGGGTCCATGGGGTTTAGGGTTTCCTTAGGGGTACTTAGAAATAAGTTTTAATTTTTGGTTATTATAATCCCTAAGAAGCAGCTAAAATTACAATTTTTGCTAGGGTTCTAAGTTCAGTACAGTTTCAGGGTGTCGGGTTTGGGGTGCAGGGTTTAGGGTTTAGGCTCCTTGCAATTGGCTATGCCACTGAAGGCACTGAGTGCTGATGCATGCGCTTCACTGGCATGCTGCACAGGGTTGATAGTTTTGGGCTCAGGTTCCTGGGTACTCCAATATCCCTTAATTAAAGAATATTCCTCAAATCATATGAGGAATCCTACCATAATTTGAAACGCTGCGCGTCGTCCGCCTCGGCCCGGCTGTACGGGCCTGCGGCGAGTGGCTACTATCTGCAGCAAGCTCTTGTAGGAAAAAAGTAACAGTTGGAATCGCACTTATAGTAAAAGTAATGTTCATAGCAACACGAAGCAGGATGATTGGTACGAATTTTGATGTCGTCATTCCGAAACACTGGATACCAAGACTCTCGCAAGCGGCGGGATGCCTTAAGTATGGGCCGTTGAGGCTGTGGATTTCGTGGGCGTCTTGGACTAGGGAAGTATCACAGCCTTTTCAACCACGTTACTCCGCCTATCCCAACGAAAGGGCGTCTAAAACAAGCCTGAGACGCAAAGCCATCAATTCGATACCAACATAGGGGCCCAAACAATGATTAAGACCCTGCTGGGGTTTTGTACTTACTAAGTCCCATGAGCCTTTAAGCAATACCCCATAATTGAGGAATATACATACCGGAAATTATAAGGGGCAGCTGTACGCGCATGCGGCGAGTGGCTACTATCTGCAGCAAGCTCTTGTAGGAAAAAAGTAACAGTCCCGTGTCGTCGAAAACTCCAGAAAGCTCGCACCTGTCAGCGAGCGGGGGGGGGGGGGAGCGGGACGGGAAGAAAACTGGGTGGGACTGCCTACAGACTGCCAAAATCCGTTGGAGGGGGCGAAAATTCACCACCGGACCTTGGGGCTAGTCGACACGTTTCCATTTTAAAGGGGGGGGGGGGGGGTCAGCGGGCCCCGTTTTTGGGGGTGGGGTCATTGGGGAGGGGATTAAGAGGTGGGGAATAGGAGAATCCGAATAGGAACCTCTGACCGCTTCGGCCGGGGCCGAGGCGAATTTAAGGAGTATTCCTTAGTTCAGGGATATTGGAGTCTCTGGGTTCCTGGGTCAGGACAAAGCGAAACCCCAAACCCTAAGTTCTCCTGCGACTCAAAGCATTCTCTGATTCTCCGGAACACAGACTGGCCCCGAAAGCTTGAGCCAAGCCTCATGTAGGAACGTGCTTCAGAAACCCTGAGTTTTGATTAGGGTTGTTTCTTTAAATGAATGCTAAGATTTGCGGAATAGGGCCACGGGTTTCCGAATCAGGTTCCTGCATTAAGTACCCCAGCTAGGCACTTTTGGCGCCCTTGCTTTGTGCAATTGGGTAGAGACCCCGAGACAATAAGCAGTAAAGCCCTAAACCCCTGACCCTTACTCCTTGACCCGGAACTCTAAACCCCGAAACCCCGAACCGGAAACCCGTCAGCCCCGACAAACCATCTTCCAGGCGGTCTTGAAGCCAGCTACTCAGAGATTCTTTCGCGTCTGCTTCTGAAAGGATCCGTCTGGTGTTTAGCGGCGAAGGGCTTACGAATCTGATTTGAGTACCGAAACAGTTCAGAGGAGAAGGCCTGCCGGGACGTAGGATGGAACTTACATGAACCAATTAGTCTACGGGACCTATAGAGCTTAAAGATGGCAAGGTTGATCTGCATGAACCCTCAACCCTACCCGTAGCCTTAAACCCAGAACACTACTATGTTCATTCAGCAACGGGTAGGGTTCCCGATGGGCCTGCCATTCTTATGTCGTCGGGCAGGCGTGGCTCGTCAGAGAAATTCGGAATACGGAGATTCCGTCGTCGTGACAATCGGTCCGGTCGGATGGATGACGCCTACTACACGGTTTAGGATTCTTTAGAGTTCTAGGGTTTAGGATTCTAGAGTTTAGGGTTTAGGGCTCTAGGGTTTTAGGGTTCAGGGTTTAGGGCTTAGGGTTTAGGGTTTAGGGTCCAGCCTACATGGTGCCGGAGGGAGGCCTCGAGCCGAGCTCTGTGCATCTGACAAAAGCCATCCCGCCGGGGGGGAGCCGAGAGCTGCGGGAGGACCCTTGATTACTACTGCTTATGGACAAAATCCTGCATGACCCATTATAAGGAAGACATACCATATATAGTTCCCATAGCTTAGAGTCCTTAGGGTCATGCAGGATTTTGTCCATCAGCAGTAGGATGCAGAGTAGTACCCTTAGTCCTTTCTTGTAGTCCCAGGTTCCTTATAAAGTTACCCAACACCAAAGAACGGAGCCCTTTTTATTCCTAGGTTAATTGCTCGGCATCCTAGATTAGATTATCGTGAGACTGCTGAAGCAGTCAGTGACGAAAATCCGACATGCGTTGGCCGGGGTCGAAGTCGAAGCAGTCGTCCGTAAGAGCGAGCAGCGAGGCTGGCCCTACCCGGCAGAAACATCAGGGACTACCTCGGCATCAAACGCGAGTTAAAGGTTGGCAGGTGGAAAGGCACCATCAGAAAACTAACCCCCCCGAACCCTCAGCCCCTAAACCTACCCTGAACACCCTAAACCCTTAAACGCTGAGCCATAAACCCTAAAGCTCAAATGTCACACTTTGGAGGCTGTTCCTTCACACGTCAGCCAGGCATTCTTGCCAGCCCCGGCAAGCCTTAAACCACTAAAACTTAACCTGCAAAAAGTCAGTGTTTCTAGGAGTTATATTTTCTGATACAATACTGCGGTTTTGGGTTTGGGTTTTCATAATTTCAAGGGATTGTTTAATCTGTTTAAGATAACTCTTGTTATTGTGGATCCAAGCGCGCTTAAGAAAACTCCGCTCCACAGCCGCAGACGGCGGTCTCAACGAGACCTGCCCGAACCTCCGCGACAACGTCGCCGGGCTCCAAGGTCCAACACCCCCTACTAATTCTAGACCGGAAACTCTTGCAAATTCCGTAAATGCTAAATCCTAAGCACTCAATCCCTTAAGCTTCCTAGACCCCAGCTCCCCTAATCCCTAAACGCACCTAAACTCTCATCTCAATGAACCCGAAGCCCCAAGCGCCCTAATAAAGACCAAACGTCGCTGAACCTCCGCGCTTTCAAGGATCCCCTGAACCCCTTATAGTACCCCTCTAGAATCCCTTTAAAGGCTCCTCCCTTAAAGGGGCCCCTAGAACCTCTTAGAGCGACCCCCTAAAGGGAGCCCCGAAAAATCGCGAAATCTGGTAGCTTCCAAGGATCCAGGCCGTGATCCGGGGCTGGAAGGCACGCCTGGACGTCCACCCATCCGGGCCGAAGGACAGAATCCCAGAATAATTTCAAACAGTAATACCAATGACAACAATAAGAATATAATAGCAACGAAAAATCATAGTGGTTATAATTAATATAAAGATAAAAGTATCAGTAGCAATAGTAATAGTAGGACTATCGATGCCCTATAACTAAGGTATCTTCCTTTTATTGAGGGATATTGGAAGGTCACAGAGGGTTCAGGGCTTTGGAGGTGTCCACGAGTGCAGGGTTTGGGGTGTAGAGTTAAGGGTTTAGGGTTTTGTTTTTCTTGGGAGGTTAGAGAGATAGGCTTTGTTTGTTTGGGGATTTGGCTTACGGTGCGGGGTCCAAGAATCTTATTAGGTTTTGCGATGCATGTTTCAGGAGTTTAGAGTGTTGGTTGGGCTCGGGGGCTTGCAGGATTTTGGAATTCGGGATTTGATTTTTGAGCTCAGCCAAGCTAAGATAGAGATCAATATGTCATGTATGCATGTGAATAGGTATTGACTACATACATGCACCCATAACTATATATATATATATGTATGCATACATATAGAGATTAATTGAGAGATGAACGGATGGACAGATCGATAACTGAATACCTATGTAACTACTTTTCCATCCATCTACCTGTCTGTATATCTGTCTGTCTACCTATCTAAGTTTCTATCCATCTATCGACCCTATCTGCCCCAAGCCCTCCCCTAAACCCTAAGCCCTAAGCCCTCAGCCTGCAGCGACTGCGGGGGACTTCGTAAGTAGGTAGTAAGTAGACTTATAAGTACCGTAAAAGGGACCCTAATTGGGGTTATGGTACTTAAAAATCCCGAAAATAACCAGTTACTAAGTCCCCCGACTCTCCAAGTAGGGTTCGGGCTCCGTATTATGATTTCCTTATGTACGTCCTGAAAAAAATAGGTTATTCCGGCTTAAGGTAGGGCTCTCAAGGGGTGCAGAGACTGAGACCCTTCAGGAGAAGTCGCGAACGCTCAACGATGGGGAACAGCTCGTCTTTTCCATTCAGGACAGATCTTGGGCTTTAGGGTTGTGCTTGGAGGCCCAGGGGACTTAGTAAGTCGGTTATATGTCGGGTTATGATTGGGGTAACTCCATTTAGGGGACTTATAACTCTACCTATAACCTACTTGCTCACTCCCCTGGGCCTCTAAGTAGGGTTTAGTGTTTCGGGGTTGCAGAGTTGCAGCTTTTAGGTAGGGGCAAGGGTACTGGGTTGGGGTGCGGAGGTCGAGGGTTACGGCGGTTAGGGCGTATAGGGTATAGGATCGTGGGGTTTTGTTGTGGGTTAGGGTTTGGGGTTTAGGTTCTAAATTGTGGAGTTTGGGGTTTATTGGGATTTAGGTTTTCGGGAGATCCTTTGAACAAGCCTCATCGTCAGTACCTGAAGCCACACGCACTCCCAAACTTGCTTTGGGTTACTTACAGGAGCATGGGACTTAGTAACTAGGGTTATAATTAGGGAAACTATACTTCTAACTACTTATAACCCCAATTAAGGTACTTGTAACCTTACTTACTAAGTCCCATGATCCTCCAAGTACACTAACCCGAGTGCATGCCGCCGTAGGCTCAGTCTCGCAGGAGTGCATACGATGCAGGTTTTGGAAACATACCTATAGTCTCCATTGTAGTTCCTTTTATCGGTTACCTCATAGGATCCTTAATATATAAATATATATATATATATATATATATATATATAATTGGTTAAACCAAAAGGGAGCTGCAATGGAGACTACAGGTAGGAGTCTCAACACGGTGGCAATCGGCTGCTACCTCGAGGAAAGGGGTCGATCGCATCGGTTTCTATCGCTTTTGTTGTCGATCGAGACTCTTAGGTTCCAAAAGTATGTAGAATAGTAGCCTTTGATGGGTATTGGGCCATTATTTTACCTACTTTGGGGGGGGGTTTTAGGGAGGGGTTTAAGTTAAAGGGTTTGGGTTTTTTTGACGGCGTGGCTTGTGTCCAGAGACGCACTCCTGAAGGGTTTGGGGTTAAGGTTTAGGGGTTTGGGTTAGGGTTTAGGGGTTTAGAGGTTGGGGTTTAGGGGTTCAGGGGTTCAGGGGTTTAGGGTTTAAGGGTTAGGGCTTAGGGGTTAGCGTTAGGGTTTAGGGTCTACGGGGGAAAAGGCAGGAAGTGTATGGGCCACATCAGGGTTTATGTAGCTGCTCTAGTCCGGCATGTGGTTTGAGCAACCACGGCAGAACATCAGCCTCAAGAACGTGCCCGACGTGAACATGTTCGGAGGAGTGGATCCGTTTGTGGAGGCTCGGATATGGTTTGAATTTTAAAACCCTTACACCCTCGACCCTGAACCATACTCCCTTAAATGCTAAACCCTCGATCCTAAATCCTAAAGCCTGATGCTGCGTCCAGCTTTCACAGTCTACTATAGGTTCCTTTTATCATTCCCAATACTATTTTGGTGTTTCCTAATTATAAGTGGAGTATAATGGGCCCAAAACCCTGTTCTAATTACGAAGGCCACATTTTAGCGAGTGCCATCCCAAAGCTTTGCCACAGCCTTGTTGTTGACGCCTAGGGTTGCCGGTTTCTTAGGGGTACTTAGGAATAATTTTTACTTTTTGGTTATTATACTGTGGTGGGACGAAAGTTTGACCTACTCCTTGTTTCGTCGAACACAGGCCCCAATTCCCCCATAGAATCCTAACAAGCAGGACCAAGCGGCTACTCCTCCGGAACATTAAAGTAGTATAATTTCAAAACGGGGTCACCGGGACCTTTCTGTCCAGCAAACCTCGCCAAACTTGTTGCTCGTTGCTGTGTGACCTAATGACCTCCTTCAGGTCCCCTAGACAGACATCCCCGTCTAAGAAACGATTCAGAAGGCAGCCTCCATTTTCGAGGCAAGAGTCCCCTCCTTTGCAGTCTTGGTGGAAGCAACGCCGAACACTTTCACCCTGGGGTTGCTTGGGCTGGACTCTGGCACCCAAAATTGACGCTGCGGTGGGACGAAAGTTTGACCTACTCCTTGTTTCGTCGAACACAGGCCCCCATTCCCTCATAGAATCCTAACAAGCAGGACCAAGCGGCTACTCCTCCGGAACATTAAAGTAGTATAATTTCAAAACGGGGTACAAAATATTCCGCTGGCCAGGCCACGTAAATCGCACTTTCCGGTACTCCGCTACTCCGCAAGACGTCTTAAGACAAGACAGATCCAGTAGGTCAAAACTTTTGTCCTCCCGATGTAATCCCTAAGAAACAGCTAAACTTATAATTGTTGCTAGGGTTCTAAGTTCAGTATACGTTTAGGGTTAGGGTCTACTTGGAGGATCATTGGACTTAGTAAGGAGGGTTATAAGTACCTTAATTGGGGTTGTAAGTAGTTATAAGTATAGTTACCCTACTTATAACCCTAGTTACTAAGTCCCATGATCCTTTAAGTAGGGTTTAGGGCTTGCTGACTCAGATCGAAGCTCTACTTTTCGCTTCCGAGTATTTGGAACGCCTGTTTAATATACAGGGGGAACTCCAGAAAGTTGGAATATGGTTTCAGGGTAGGATACCTTATAATTTACCATAAAGGGTTTAGGATAATCATATTCCAACTTTCTGGCTTTTACTCTAGGGGCCTGTTAGAGCTGATGGGTTGGAGGACAGTTCAGGGGCTTTCGAGTTCAGGGTTTAGGGCCTTGAGGGAGTTGAATTTCAGGGTCTTAGGGTTGAATTTAGGGCTTAGGCCCTTGAGGCCTTGACTGGGGTTCAGAGTTTAGGGTTGAGGGATTGGTTTGAGAATAGAACCAAATCTACACAAGGAGCCCTCCCCAATGCCCCCCGATTCTCAATAAATGAAGGCTGGATCTTAAACTTTGTGTGGCAGGACCACCAGGGGATAGGAGTATACACTCATTATGCAGCACCTAAGCCCTAAACCCTAAACCTCATCGTTACTCAGTAGTCAGCACCTAAACCCTAAACCCGAAAAAGCGCACTGTTACTCATTATTCCGCACCCCTAAACCCTACTTGGAGGGTCGGGGGACTTAGTAGGTAGTAAGTAGACTTATAAGTACCCTAAAAGGGACCCTTTAATTGGGGTTATGGTACTTACATAAGCCCCCCAAAAAAAATCAGATACTAAGTCCCCCGACCCTCCAAGCAAACCCCAAGGCCGAGGTGGCCGAGGATCCTCGGGTCAAGATTAGGTCCTGGAGTTTCGGGTTTGGGGCCTCTTGGTCTGAAAGGGTCCCCCTTTTCTGAGTTCCTAGATGCAACTATAATATCGTACGGACCGCCACCATAAACTCCGAAGCCCAATTCTCGTTGATTTCAGGTCCTAAAATCCTACAAAGCCGCATAGAATTCCTTCAAAACTGCCCATGAAACCCTGTAAGACCATACAGAATCCCTTGTCAGACCCTAGAATCAGAAGCCAGGTGCAGACGGGCTTCAACAAAGATCCGACCTCGCTTCTTTGCGCAATAGCCGAGAAACCCGGGGGTCCTCCTGAGGTTGCCTTTAAGGGTTCTTTGAGGGCTTCCCAGAGACTCCAATACCCCTTAATCTGGGAATATACCTTAAATTATAATAGGATCCTTAATATGACTTAAGGTATATTCCTGCATTACCTTAAGGTCCCTAAGCTATGGGAATTACGGTGTTCCTGATTTTGGGTAATGCAGATTCATATCATCAGCCGCATGAGGCTTCCTTTAAGGATACTTTAAGGGTTCCTTTTATGGTGCCTTTAGGTGCAGGAAAAGGGTTCCTTTGAGGGTGGGTTCCTGTGAGGGTTCCTTCAAGGCTTGGTTCATTTAAGCATCCCTTAGTTGGCTTTAGGGTTTAGCGTTTATAGGTGTTGGGTTTGGGGTTTACGGATTTGTTTAGGGCTTAGGGGTTTGGACGGAAACAGCAGTTTGTGGCAGTTTTATCCGGAAGTTCGGAGAATTGAATCAGGACCTTGTATACGTCTAACGAGGCATTCAAAGGGATCCGGAACCCGCAGGAACCCTTAGCCCTGACACCCAAAAGCCTTGAACCCCAATACCTACCCCAAAACCGCCCACACCCCCTCCAAGATGTACGGTCAAACTTTACGTTCAGAAAACAACATTCCAGCACCAAAGTCTCAGACATTTCTTAGTCGAGGGCGACACTTAAGAAATTCAGCAAGTCCATGAGAGTCTCAGGATCTTGCTTATTTGACAAATGGCCGGCCAACCAGGAAACTGCTCGTGATTCGACCATGGAGCTGTTCCCCCCATAGTACCATTCGGCATGCTTTTTCCATACCTTAGCCTGAAAAATAACTCATGAGAAGCGGTACGTACGTACATAGCTTGGTCAGAAGCTGGTGCCATGTCCAAACAGCGTACACTGTTTGGCGGGGTCTTGATGAACCGCTTTCCTTTTGAGTGCAAATACTGTGGCGAAGCCCGGAAGACGTCGCAGGCTTTGTCGTCACATATATACTACAAGCATCCCGAGAAGTGGTGTGCTGGTTCAAAGGCAGGTTTTGATGCTCCTGGCTTTGTCATTGGAGGCCTCATTCTCAGAGATCCGCCAGATGAAGAGGAGCCAGATGCGGAGCAGGCGATGCCTTCTCCTACAGCTCTTCCTGAGGAAGAGGAGTCATCGTATGGTGTTGTCGTGGAAGCACAGGGCCAGAAGCTAACGAAACAAGGACTGCCGAAGCAGACAAGGCTCCTCCCAAACCCTGGGAAAATTCCAACAAATGGATGCCTGAAGGCGGTTCCTAGAAATCACTCTTGAGTAGTCTGTGGTCCCAAATTTAGGGGTCTACTTTGTAGATCCTCCCGGAGGCCCATGCGTTCTCACTTGAGTTACCAGGTTCCTTCTCGGCTACAGACGCGGGATCCTAACTGCGATCCGTCCCCAAAAGGACCATGAAACCGGGAACCCTTAAAGGAACCCATAAAGGACCTTTTAACTCTACGAAGGAAAGGGAAGACCACGGCGTCTCCTGAAAAGTCGGCGAAGACAGAGGCAAGTTGGAGTCCTTGCTTGGAGTTTCAGGGTTTGGGGTTTAGGACCTTTTTTTGTAGTAGGATGCTCAGTTATAGAGCTCCAGAGGTTTTTGTTAGGGTCCCCACAACCCCCCCGCAAAATAGGGGTTATAACAAGAACCTACAAAAAAGTAGGGTTTAGGTAAGTAGGTCTAGGAGGTGTAGGGCTCATTGGGTTTGCGGTTGAGGGTTGTAGGTGTTAGGGCCGACTCATGACAATTGGGTTTGTCTTAGATTGCATTCCCGGCATCATTTGCATATACTATACCCCCCGAGCCAAGTCTACGTATGCAAGTCCCCGCATCGCCGGGTTGCTGAGTTTTTTGTAGGGCTTGCCCCCACAAAACTGGTGCACAGTTCTTCTGTATAATATCTGCCATCTAAATATCCTTGTAAGTGCAAGCCATTTTGGCGTAGGTTCGCGAGAGAATGATTCAAACATCGTCATTTGCATCTTTTTGCCCTCTGTATTTCTCGTAGGGGGCAGTCGGGGTCTGATGGGTTTGAAACTCAGGGTTTCAGGTGCTTAGGAAACGGAGTTCAAGAAACGCAGAATGATTACAATGCGTGAAAGGAAAACTTTGGAACGCAGCGGACCCTGATATGCGTTGTGTAAACCCCAAACCCAAAACCCTGTTATTGTACTTGGTAGGATCCGTGCTATAGTAAACTTTCGTGATAATGCCGCCGCCATGAAGGGTTCTGCAAGTTAGATCGACAAATGACAAGCAGCCCTGGTTTTCCAGCTCGTGCACTTGGACGCGGTATAGGGCTTCTGGGCTTTTGAAAGCCCCAAACCTGAAACCCCAAAGCTCAACGCTCCAAACCTCATGGTACAGCCCCAAGCCCCACCACACCGTGCAACTCCCTCATAACCCTAAATCCCTTAATCCTGTAAGAAGAAGCCACTTTGCTTCCTTTTTTCCGGCTCTCTGCACTGTCTTCTGTCTGGTGCTTAGTAGGGATCCCCACAGTAGTCCCTGTATAAGACCCAATGGCAGTCTCCATAATCCATTCCCACATCCCCCTAAACCCTAGAACCCTAAACCCTAATCTCTAGAACCCTAAGCACTGAACCCTAAACCCTAAACTCTAGAAACCTAAGCCCTAAATCCTAAGCCCTAAACTTCTAGAACCCTATGCCCTAAACCCTAAACTCTTACCCTAAGCCCTGAACCTTAAGTCCCCATAATCCATTCCAACTTGCAAGCCGCAGATGCTGCAGAGTCAGAACAACCCGAAGTTCGAAACAGGACTCGAGCTGACGAAGGTGCGGCAGCGAGGGTTTAGGGTTATTTCGAGTTCCAGGTTCTAGGGTTCTGGAGTTCAGGGTTTAGGCTTTAGGGCTCTAGGGTTGTAAGGTTCAGGGTTCAGGGCTTAGGGTTTAGGGTTCAGCAGCTCCGGGTCGAGCAGTCTCTAGTCGAGCTAGCGGTTTTCGATTTAGAAAATGACACACCCCCCAAAGAATCCCACAACATTGGGAAAATACAAGATTTGCCGTCTTCCGCATGCCTTAAACGAAACCCTAAACTGACCTTAAGGAACCTTAAACGAGCTTTAAACGGATTCCTAAATGGAACATAACCCAGAGGGTCCATATACACTACTATTATGGAATTAGGTCCCCCAAAACCATAATGGGGATGGTCTTTTAGGGCCTAATTCCATAATGGTAGTGTATATGGACCCTCTGGGTAACACAGAATGCTAAAGGAAATAAACGCGACCAAGTGGCCTTGCCCACGAAGACCAGAGGTTGAGGAGTTGAGGGTTCTAGGGCTTAGGGTTTGGGGTTTAGGGTTTAGGGTTTAGGGTTTAGGGTTTAGGGTTCTAGGGCTTAGGGTTTGGGGTTTAGGGTTCTAGGGCTTAGGGTTTGGGGTTTAGGAGTTGGGGCTCTAGGGTTTAGGGTTCTAGGGCTTCGGACTTGTGTTTTAGGGTTGAGGGTCCCCCAAGTAGCCTTTAATAGACCTGTAACCCCAAACCCTACAAAAAAGTAGGTTATAACCCTCTAATTATAGGGTCTAACCCCTAAAACAGTAGGTTTGGGGATTCCCAAGGAGGCCTTACGATCTCTTTTGCCACTCTTCTGAAGCCGGCGCGAAGTCTTGGCAGCTCCCGCTGTTTTGCTGTCGTGAAGCCATTCCCCCGATGCTGGCACGAGGAGTCTTACCTTTGGTTAGTTGGGAATGGAAGAATGGTAGCCATAGTAGTTATAAATGTACCCCATTCCTCCATTCCCTACTAACCCAAGGTAAGGATTTCCGGACGGTGCAGAATCTTTCTGGCGAGTTCACTCGCACGGAGAGGACATGGAGGGGTTCCTCCTCGACCTGGCGCTATGCCCCTATACAGGACCTGGGATTCGACCTGGGGCGGCTCCAGCTCCAGGGGGAGTTCCGCCTCCGCCTAGAGCAGGCGCGACACATGCCAACAATTATGTCAGGAATAGTCTGCGAGAAAGCCCCGTCAGAAGCTGCAGCGGATCTCCTGAACGCCATGGCCGGGGCAAGATAGCACGGGAAGAGTCCAACAGCTACTGTACGAGACTGGCGGACAGGTTGCACCAGCAAGTGGGATGCTTTAGAGGCCATGCCTGTATCTGCCGCTGCCGAACATGGTAACGGAATCAGCCTGGGCAAGCAATATCTGGAGTTTCAGGTGGACGCAGTGTCTCTTGTCTTTCCCTTTGAACTTTGAAGCTTTAGCTGCTGCCTTACTGGACGGCCTCGATCCTGGGCATAGGGCTTAGTGCTGGGCCTAGGTTTAGGGTTTAAGGTTTAGGGTTTTCGGGTTTAGGGGCAGGTGTTTAGGGTTGAGGGTTATAATAAATAGACCCCGTGGAACGTAGGGTTTCGAGAGTACGAATAGTTATTAATAAGTTATTATATATGCTTTGGGCAAGTAACCCCCCATATAAGTACTTAGGATCCTTTGAGGCTTCGGCAAGGAGCCCTGGTGAGGAAGTCCAGGCCTTTTGTGACAACACTTGCCAAGATAGTCTCCACATGGGAGTTTCCCAAAATAGGGGACCCTTAATATAGTACCCTAAATAGTAGGGTCCTTATTATAATAGGGACCCCAAAATAAGGTACCCCCAATTTTCGGAAACTCCCACATGCCACGGTAAGAATGAAGAGGTAGTTAAAGGCAAGAGTGCAATGCAAGCAGAATAGTAGCATCAGTTGCCCTCGAAGCCCTACTCCCCTAAACCCTAAACCTTAATCCCTTAAACCCTAAACCCTAAGCCCCAATTCCAAAACTCAGAACTCCTAAACTGAAGCCGCACGCCCTACAGCCTGATACACCCCTGGAAGCCCCGGACTTGGTTCATGGGAGTTTCACAGAATATGTGACCAAGTAGAACCCCAACTATCACTAACAATCAAGATGATGCTACAACCGTTTTAAAAAACCAGAACCTCAACTATCACTAAGAAGCAAGATGCTGCTACTATCTTTTTGAAGAAGAGCCCCCCTCATCTGAAACCAGGTGTACAACCAGTCGGCGGGCCTGGCGCGAAGTTGTCTAGCGCGTTTGTGCCGTTTGTGCATTAAACCAAGGTGCTGTACGCATTTGTTCTTTCTGTTTTGTGCGGCTGTTACTTCATGATTCGTTGCGTGGCCGCTGTTAGGGGTTTAAGGCGCTAGGCGAGCTGCGGGTTTTGCGATCTTCCTTCCTCAGTGGTTTAAGGTTGAAGGGTCGGCCTAAATGTTACGGGTCTGAGGTCGAAGCTTTGCAAGGGAATAGGTGAATCCTATGTAAGGTTGCCACCTCTCAGGGTTTGGGGTGTAGGGTTGAGGGAGCGTTGTAAAGTTTAAGGTACAGGTTTCAGAAGGGTTGGCAGGTTTATCTTCGAGAATTTGGCGAGTGTATATAGAGGGATCCTTCTGAACATCAGTGAATTCTTGGTGCTTTGTCACTTTGTCATTCGGATACTCGGATACTAGCCATTACAACCCTATAGATGTAGGTTTACGCAATAAAGATTTGCAAAACTTGACGGATGAACCGTTGCACAGATGCAGCAGGGTCAGAGGGGAGTTAGTGCTTCAAGGCATCTTCACGTCTATAATCTATAGTCTTGTCCAAAGGGTCCTAAGTACCAATATTTGGGATACCTGCCCAAGCCGAAACAGTAATTTCTACAATACAAATCCAACATTCTACTATGTATGTAGGTGCTTAGGACCCTGTGGGCTTGCGAGCCTACATTATAGAACCTGCGTGCCAGACCCCCAAGCAGGCCAGTATATTCTTTAGGGTACTAAGTACCTACTACAATGGTACTTGGACCCTTGATTGGGTTTTTGCAAGCCAGGACCAGTTTATCAACTTTCTTCTCTTCGATTCTGGCACGACGGAAGACACCTTCATCGCATCTCAGCTGCGATACCCTTCAGCTTTCAGGGGTAGGAGTACTACAGGGGCCTTAATATATTTACCTATACCATTTTGGGGGTTCCCCAAAACCCTATTCTAATTATTAAGGCTCCTATGTTAGGGTCTTGTGGTTGAGTTCGTGATTTTGAATATCTGCGGGAGTTTACACTCCAGGTGTTCGTGACTCCTGCTGCATTCGAGATCTATTTTCATAGTAGTTCAGCGACAGCTCTGGCTAGGAGGACCGCAGCGCCTCGGGTTGGATAGCAACCTAGGATTCAGGGTTTTGGGTTCAGGGACGGCGCATAGTGCTGTGATCATTATGCCGTTCATGTCTTATGCTCAGTCGTGCTGCAGATGCTGCCACTGTTGCAATAAGCGTTTTTCGGCATGCTGCGACTGTTTGCTCATATCTTCTATGCCCTTTCGCCAGCGGGTAGTTCTCGAAATTGGGCTCCCTTGTCAGGAAACCAAAAGAAGGAGGCACCCTGAGAATAAAGGACCCTCACAAGAGACCCTAATTCGGAGAACCACTACGGTAGTGTTGGAGTTACCCTAAACCCCTAAACCCTAAGCCCCTGAGCCCCTCAACTCAAGCCTCTAAACCCTACACCTTAAACCCTAAAACCTTAAACCCCCAAACCCCTAAACCCTTAAACCCAAAGCTCCCTAACCCCCAAACCCAAAGCCCCTAAGAACCCTGAACCCCCGAACCGACATCCGACCGCGGCCCAAGGGGAGCAAAGGTCTGGCTGTCAGCAAGCATCAACCTCAGTCATAGAGTCTTGATGCTTTACGGTTTAGAGTTTAGTGTTTATAGGGTTTAGAGTTTAGCGCTTACGGTTTGGAGTTTAGGGTTTACAAGGTTTGAGGCCTAGTCATAGTCTTGGGGTTTATAGTTTAGAGTTTCGGGAATTTGGGGTTGAGGGTTTTGGGTTCAGCTCTAGGGTCTGAGGTTTGGGCTGTGTTTAGATGTTTGTTTGCTCAGGGTCTTGATGGGTTGGTTGTGTTTCCTAGAGGGTCCATATATACTACCATTATGGAATTATGGCCCCCAAAGCCATAATAGGGATGGTCTTTTGGGACCTGATTCCATAATGGTAGTATATATGGACCCTCTGGGTTTTGTTTTTTGACAGGGTTCGTCGGGTTTTGCAGGGATATTGCAGGCTCCTGTAGGGTTTCATAGCGCTTTACAAGGTCTTGCAGGGTTTTATTTAGGGTTTAGGGTTTAGGGTTTACTTCAGACGGGATATTTTGGACTTTGCTGGATCGGATCCCGCAAACTCCGAGCTTTCACACCCTTGTCCGCAACCTCTTGATCGATCATATCGGGGTTTGAACAGGAAGGTGCACTGTGCTGGCCTCGAATGACTCTAATGTTTGCAACGGGTGCTTGTCCTTCGTTTTTTGTACTCTTGTTGATGTCGCTCCATAAACTGCACTCAGAGATATTGCGCTCACAGTCATATTCCGTATTTACATATTGCACTACTATACTATACCCCCGAGACCTTTTCAAACGATGGGTATCCCCGAGAGTCTCAGAGTCAATCACGCAATCAACCCCTAAAACCAAGATGAGACCCTGTTCAACAACAAGATTTGAAACACAAGAGCCTTTTGAACGCTACCTGGCACCCAAAGACGCCAAAACCCGTTGCTAATTACGGAATATCCTGAAATGATAGTAGGACCCCTGATTCTGATATAAGGAATATTCCTTAGTTAACCTCTAAAGCCCCCTAAATGAGGAATATACCGTAATTCAGAATAGGATCCCTAATCATGATTTAAGGAATATTCCTTAATTAATCTCGAGGCCCGGGTAGCTCCAATAATGCCTTAAAGAATCCAGGGTTTAGAGTTTAGGGTTTAGGTACCAGGGATTAAGGAGTAAGGTTTAAGGTTTAGGGATTAGGTTTTAGGGTAATCCCCAGAGGCTGGTCTCTGGAGTCAAGAGCTTTACCTTCGATGCTCCTTTCAAGCCGCTCCCACAGGCGGGTTCTTCCCAGGGCCGGGGCTGTAGTCGCTTTATGTCAGGAACCCAAACAGCACCCAAACATAAACTTGCGGGTGGGATATCCCTGCCGTATAGCGGCATACTTAAAGGGGGAAGTAAGGCATGTCCCAACCTTGTGTTTGCTGTTTGGGTGTTTTTTTTGTGAGGGGGGGGGGTCCCCATGGTGATTTCTGAACATGTCCAGCTTCTAGGGTCCAGAGTCTGCAGCTTAGGCCCTCGTTTTTGCTCGAAGTCTGAACCCCAACCCAAAACTCTAAGTCTAGAGAAATAACACTGCGAGGTATCAGGGTGGATGTTGAGTTGTCATCAGTATGAGACTGGCGGTCCTTTCGCAGAAAGCCAGACAAAGTCGAACATGAAATCGCGCAGCATTCCGAGCCCGACATCAGGGCAAAAAGCGGTTTAAGTCCTGGGGCTTAGGATTTTGTTGATCGTGAGTCCATCATCGATGCCGACTTTTCCTGCTAGGAGGGAGCTTACTTTTGGAGCATACGGATAAACTACTATTTGCTTAAGAACACCCAAAAAATAAAAAACATATTCCTTATGGGGGTAATATAGGGATTATTATTTTTATTTTTTGGGTGTTTCTTAAGCAAATAGTAGATAAACGTTACGGTGTAAGGCTTAGGGTCGCAGGAGGGTTAAAGGGTCCAGAATGTCTGCAGAAATAAGTCACCTTCATCGTCAAATCTTGCCCGACCTTCGAACCCTAATTGTTGAAAGCCTGTGAGAAGAACCTTGCACTCAACTCTAAATCCTACTTCAAACCGCCGTAACCTGGCATGTTTGTCCACTCCTGTTCAAATACAGCGTTGAAACGGATCCTACAAGTGTAGAGTTTTTTGGATAGCTCCATTCCAGATTGCGGTATGTCCTTGCACCACTGGCCTGCAAAGCTCCTGACGGCAGAAGTAGAACCTGATTCCTTAGAAGCTGCCCCCACCCTGTAATAGTGGTACAATATAAGAATATATTAGGGCCCCAATATAATCCTATATAATCCTTATAGTCACTATTACAGGGTGGGGGCAGCTTCTAACTGATTTCCCACAAGTCTCAACCACAAATCACTGGGCTTTCATTCCGAGCCGGGCTGGGATTTCGGGGTTAACTTGAAGCCTTACGCCCCATGACAGAGAACTCCACCATTCCCTAAAGCCTCCCCTCTTGAATCCTGTAGAGCCCGAAAAAGCGGCTGACTTCAGGGTGAATTAGGTTCAGAGTTTAGGGTATAGGGTTTAAGCTTCCAACACCCTAGACCCCTTTAGTATACCCGAAAACCTTCACCCTTTCATCCCATAAAGCCCCGAAGCAGACGTAGACCCCAGGGTTAACTCATAATTCAGGTTCAGAGTTTAGGGTTTAGGCTTCCAACACCCGAGGACCCCTTTAGACCCTGAGCTCTGAGCCGTAAGCCGGCTGCTTGCAGGAAGTGGAGCTGAAGCCGGGGGGCCCTGGAAGAGTCTTCTCGGTGGGAGAGTGTCGTTGCTTCGGCCAAGGGACCTAGTAGGGTTTAAGGCTTAGGAGATAGGGGTTTAGGGTTTAGGGTTGGGGGTTTAGGGGTTTAAGAATTTAGGGGTTTAGGGAGGGGGATCTGTGCTTGGAGGATCATGGGACTTAGTAAGTAGCTTTGGGGCTGTGAACTTACGGGGAGTATTTTGCTTATTGCACCCAACATGTCCCTGGCCTTGCTACTTAAAGGATCAGGGGACTTAGTAACTAGGGCTATGACTAGGGTAGTAATACTTATAACTACCTAGAAACCGAATTAAGGTACTTATGACGTTACTTACTGAGTCCCATGGTCCTCCAAGCACAGATCCCCTCCCTAAACCCCTAAACCCCCAACCCTAAACCCCTAACCCCTAAGCCTTAAACCCTACGAGGTCCCTAGGCCGAAGCAACGACACGCTCCGGCAGAGAACCTCACGATTCAGGAGCGTACCCAGAGACTCCAATATCCCTTAATTAAGGAATATTCCTTATATCATATTATGGATCCTACTATAATTTAAGGTATGTTCCTTAATTAAGGGGTATTGGAGTCTCTGGGTAAACTCGCAGCCCACAGCCCCAAGCATGGGGTCAAACAGAGCTGGGAACCTCAATCACACTCTCAGCCTATCCTGAAAAGCCCTAAAAGCCCTAAACGGTTTAGGGTTTAGGGTTGAGTTTAGGGTTTAGGGTTTCTAAACCCGACAACTCTGAACCCTAAAACCTGAATCCGACCCCCCCCCCCCCCGCCCTTGGGCTCTAATTACCCATATGATCACCCAACCCTAAGCTCTACATAACTCTAAGCCCGGATTACCTCCTAAAGGCAGTGATCCAAATGCGACAACCTGAGAGCTAGCTCAGCGACCTCTACAGCGCCGACCACGTTGCGGGAGCATTTTTTAAAGCCCGGATGGGTACAAGAAGCAATTATATTAAACCCTAAACCCTAGACCTTAAATCCTGAGATGCTTGTGTTTCTGTGACTTTGGGGTCGTGCCATCAGGCCCGCCGTGGCCGTGGAGAAGGGCAAGGACATTGTAGTTTAGGGGCAGTGTGTTCTCGTTTGGAATCTACTTGGAGGGGCAGGGGACTTAGTATAAGTACCCTGAATGGAGTTACCCCAATTATAACCCTACTTATAAACGACTTACTAAGTCCCATGCCCCTCCAAGTAGGGCCGAACTTCAGCCTGTTGGAATGGTTGCCCAAGATTCAACAAGCTCCCCGAGGCCTTTCTGGCCAAGATGTCACGATCCGTGCCAAGATGCTTAGGAAATACTCACATATTCTCCCAAAGGCCCCTACAGTACCTGGAGCAAGGGATTCTTTTCTTGCGGTGCCGATGCCCGACTCCTTAGCCGGCACGTGCCCCTGCAAGCAACTCGTAACAGGATGTCATTGCTAACTGCTTACTATTCAGAAGGCTTTATCAGGCAGTGGTGTTTTGGGTGTAGGGCTGAATGTGCAGAAAGCCTTAAAACAAGCCTCACTCGCAAGACTGCTTGTGGTGCTGTTGTGCTCGTGTTGGCCCCTAGATTGCACTGCAAGGCCTGGCCCCAAACTCGAACCCGAAACCCTAAACCCCAAATCCACCACTTGATATAACGCGAAAACCATCGAGTAAACCGTGAATCGCAGAGTTTAGGGTGCAGAACAGCCCAGAGGACATCAAGGCAAAGTTCGACCTCTTCGTGTTCGAGGCACTGAATACTTAACCACTACTTAACCCCTGACCCCCCAAAACCCTAAACCCTAAAGCCTAACCCCTAATCTCAAAACTCCCACGCCCTGGCTAAAGCCCTGAACCCTTAACCTTAAACGCGCAACCTTAAACCCGTTTGCAGCACGACGGAGCGATGTTACCCATCCAAGGGGACAGTCCAGCGAGCATCAAGCTTGGACGATTCGACAGAGCTTTCAACAGGCTTGCCAGTGGTGGAACTGGCAACGGAATGTGCCACTCGTGTCTAGGAGGTCATCGGGAAATTGGTTGGGAGGACATGATTGACCAAGCTGACCGGATATATAGGCACGATACGCGCATGGCCTGAAGGCCTGCAACGCGAGTGGATGCAAATTCCCCATGCCCCGGCATTTCCTGAAGACTACTCCACCCTAAACCCTAAACCCCAAACCCTACAGGAACGACCCGTTTCATGTCTGCAAGATAGGCATCGGGAGGCACTTTGTGGCCTCGGACCTTGTTGTCATAGCATCCTCTGCCCTTTGGGCTGGCGGTTACCCTAAGGCCCCATAGTAGTTTAGAACCCGTTTTTCATCCCAAAATGGAACCACCATGGGGCCTTATCACAGTGGTGCGGAAGCTCGTCTAGATCGTGCGTATTGCGACTTCGACTACTGTTGTCGAATGGGGCTACGACATGGAGTTCATGTGAAATCCTCTGCACAAGCCACCAATCCTTCCCATGTGCAGTGTGGAAGCGGCTCAATGGCTAGCGATGCTGTTGTTTATGATCGATAGAAAGTGGGTCGGAATAAATACAAATAACATCCTCTTATCGTCCCTGTAGACTGATAGAGTGATGGCATTAAATACACCAGAAGGGCTGTCTAGTTGCATCACACGAGCCCGATGTCTTGTTCTGCCTGGTTTGCCCCCACTTGCGGAGTTATCTATGTGTTTCGAGGGGTTGAAGCCTAAAACCCAAATCCTGTTTTTTCTCGGGTTTCATCTTAAGCAGTACTCCTTCCGATTTCGCCCATACAGCATCCCAGAACAACACCTCCTAAACTCTACCACCCTCACGGCCCAAACCCCAAGCTTACTAAACCTTGAACCCTCACCCCTGGACCCAGAAGTCCTGAACCCCTAAGCCCCTTGAGCCCTACACTCCTACACCCATAATTGCCACAAGCCCTACCATCTTCTGCGCTCTTGTGAAGGAAACACAGGTTACCAATACAAGGGAACGCTATTTACATACTATTAAGTAGATACCAATTATGGTAGCTCAAATTAGTTCAACTTCGTCAAAGTCCTTCACCCTATGCTTCCAAGGACGCCGTAGCTAGGGCCCTAGACCCCTTAAGGACCCAATAATGAGGTCCCTGGAAGCCCAGGGTAACAAGAACCCTCCCTTCCCAAAGCCACGGCCAGGCCCTGAAGTTCAGCTTCAACATCAAGCAAGGAGACAAGCTGCCGGAGGCCGTTCCCATTTAGGGTTTGGGTTTGGGGATGTTTGGGCCCCTGAACCCTAAATGCTTAGAATATCATGGGCCTTTTTAGGATTCTATGTCTAGTGGGTTTCAGAGGATTTAGGGTTCATGTAGGGGCCTTAGTGATTAGACTAGGGCTTTGGGTCAGAGTATAGTACGGTATAGTTCTAGCAAGACACCCTAAAACTAAGGCGTGCTACAAGGGGTGTAGGGTTTAGGGTTTGGGGTCTACCCTAAACCGGAACCTCAAACCTGTTGATGCGGGTAGATGCTTTTCGAAGCCTTCACACAAGACTCCTCACCTTTACACCCTCACCTCACCCTTAGTAAGTAGTTGTTTTATATAGCTGTTAATTGAGGTTAGTGACACTTGTGGCTCCATAAATAATTAACTAACTACTTACTAAGTCCCTTGACCCTCCGAGAGAGTTCCAAACGCATGAGACCCAGGCTTGCAGGGGAATTTCGGGAGCAGTCGCATTCACCGAAAGGCAGTAAGTGTTTGGTCTAGGATTTGGGGCTTCAGGGCTTAGGGCTTATGGCTTTAGCTTTGGGGGTAGTTTCTGCGACCAGAAGCATTGCTTGGGCGGCCGGTGGGTTTGAGGACGGTCGCATGAACGAGCCTAGTAATCATATACTATCCCAAGTATGAACCTACATAGCTGCTATCCTAAACTCAAGTACCTCATCTTGGGTCCTTCAAAAAACCCTACAAATCCGTATAGACCCCTCAAGGAAGCCTTGTAGAACTCCTTAATACTGGGTCCTTTGGACCCTTGGGGGAAGAGAGCGGCAGGTCTTGCCGTTACAGTGCGTCGGGCCTGCGTCTTAAATCATTGATAAAGCCTGAAGCATCACACCCCTCAGTGCCCGTAACCCCCTTAATTAAACGCGAACCATCCGCTAAAAGTAGGTGACCTTTACAACTTGCAGCTCGAATGAACCCAGGCGTCGCAATTCGTTTGCATTTGCGGCAATGATGCTACGTCCAGTATCAGCAAAACCAGAGCGGTACCAGTAAGAAGCCTACGTGCGAGCCTTTAAAGAACCAATGGTTCAATCCAACCGACGGTGAAAGTTTGGTTTCTTGGTGTTCCCCGTCTTATCGGATCTTAGAGCCCTAACTGAGCTTTCCAGGTTTAGGCTCGTGTGTCTTGGGCTTCACGCTTTTGCTCTTCTGGGTTTAAGCTTCTTTGGGGCTTCGGAGAACCCTGCTGAAGTGTAGGGTTGTAGGAATTCAAAGTATACGGTGTCGGGCTTAGAAATCTGAGTTTAGCTTTTGGGTCTGGAGGCTTCTGTTTCTTCGATATTGGGGGTTGACAATAACCTCGGGTTGCATGTTTGCTTGTTGCATGCATAACAGGTCGACCAGTTTGGTGGAATCGACTCTTTCATCGAGATTCGAGCTACACGCGGTGATGTGAGGCAGGCTTTTGGGCACTTTTGAGCTTGGGGTTTTCTGTTCTTGCTCCGAGTGAGGTTGAACCTTCACTTTAGTGCTTAGGCTTTCAGGCCTCCGGGTCCAGTGCAAGAACACTGGTTTACGAACTTAATTCAGTACATTAGAACACCCTTTCAAGATTTACAGTTCACAGCCTAATGATTACAAAACCCTTGCAGAACACTGACAAGAAAGACCAATTTGCTGGATCCTCTTTGGACCCTCAGTCGGGTTAAATTCTTGAATCCTAAACCCCCTGAACCGTAAAGTGTTCTAAGCGGTTCCTCTCTTCTACGCTTTGGAAGACCCGTGAGCAAGTCTTTGCAGGTCTGTGGCAGGGATGGAATCTCTCTTAGCTCTTAGTAGCTGAGTTTGTAAACTTTAGACTAGTTGAGATAGTGGAACCGTAATTGAAGATTAAAGTTGAGACTTGTGGGGCTTATGAACTCGGCAGCTAAGCTCCGAAAGTCTGTATCAGGCACGCTGAAATCTCTGAATCTTGGCGTGTCCTTCCAAATTCAGAAAGGGTCCTAGGTCCTAGGGAACATTAAAGGGATACGTCCCAAGTCATAATAGCACTAATATAGAAACTCGACATTCGACCATAGAGCTGCGTAGGATCTTTAAGGTTTCTGATTCGGGTGTTCCCGCTGCGGGGAGGTCCGACTCGAGGGGGATTTGTCTAGCATGCAAACCTTAGCTTGAACACCATAGCTGGGTTCGGGAGTGCAATACTTTAACATGCTTTGTGACATGTTCCTTCAATATCCGCTTCTGAAATACAAGTTTAAGTTTTCTTTCTAGCATCTTCAAAGCCCAGTTAACTGACCTAATTATTCGCAGGAAAGCGGACTTCTCATTGGAGCCAGACAAGAAGTGCATCTGGAGTGGGAAGTGGCGGACTCGGTCAGTATAGGGGTTACTACAAAACAAAAGTCACTGCAAGGGTTCGGGCTTTGGGCTCTTCCGTTGCGGGTGAAGTGTCCAGCTCTGATGCATTGTGCAGGAGCTTGGTCAGCTAGAGATTTCAGTGGTTTGTTTTTCTCCCCGTTCGGTGCTTGTGCGTTTCAGAGGCAGTTCATTTTGTTGACATTTGTTCTAGTTCGTTCGGGTATTGAGTTTTTAAGCCTGTTGGATCTAGGGTTGCGTTTCCAGGAATTTGAGGCATTCAGGGTGTAGGGTCTGGGGTTCGAGGTCTCGTCTCTAGGATTACTTGGAGAGATGATTGTTTCACCGACGGACGACATGTATGCACAGACCCTCGATATTGAGGCAGTCCTCTTCCGGAATCACACTCCTTTTCTCTCTCGGTCGCTCTGTCTCTCTCTCTCTCTCTGTGACTTTTTCGGTGTACTTACATACATACATGCGATGTGTGTATATACATGCATGCATGCTTACATACATTGACATACTTCTCCATTGGAGCGAACGCAGGCGTACCTTCATGCCCAGTCTGCGTCTAAATGAAACCAGGCGTCATACATACATGTATGTATATACATATATACAAGCATACACACATACATACACATACACATATACACACATGTATATACCCCGAACCCCCAAATCTTATGCAAAGCCGAAGTTAGCCGAACCTGACTTGAGCCCCAGACCCTAAACTCCAAACCATAACCTTGAATCTCTGAGACTGAGCCTGATCTGAAGATTTCGAACTCAGAGATTCAGACTTGGGGTTGATGGTTTTGGGATTTAGGACACCCTAAACCCCAAAACCTAAGTCTTGAGAAATCACCAGTGAACTTTCAATGCTGAGCCGCATTTCATAATCTAAGCCCGAAACTGAAGAAACATTGTAGCAAAGAACCCTGCATCAGTACTCACATTATTCACCAGGGATCCTACAGCATAACCAACCGCAACACTCGCTACTGCATTCCAAATTGTTGGGCCTCTTTAAGGTTTAGGGTTTAGGCCGACAGCCCTTTAAACCCAAAACCCCTAAGCCCTAAACCCTGAACCTCTGAACCCCTAAACCCTAAACCCTAAGCCCTAAACCCTAAACCTTTAAACCCTAAACCCGATACCCCTCAACGCTAACCCTATACCGCTATACCCTGAACCCCTAACCCCCAGCGTTCGGCCCAGCAAGGACGAACGTTCATCCCGACACCGTGACCCCCAAGTACAACCAGGAGCGACTTGGTGGTTGCTACAGGGGTTCAAGGTTTAGGGTTTAGGGTTTGGGGTTTAGGGTTTAGGGTTGAGGGCATGGTCAGGGTTGCTGAAATACGAATTCTGAAGGTTTTGCTGGGGTTGTATAGGATATGCGATGGGACTTTTATAGGGCTTTAATGCTTTATGGGTTTTCGCGGAGTGGTGATCGCCGAAGCGCAGCACTCTAAGCGCCCTAGGCCCTGAACATGTGCAAGGAAATCATCCGAAGGAGCCCGACACATGTAGGTTGCTGAGGGTTAAGGTAGACCCCACCCCGACATCCTAACCCCCATATAAACCGTAATCCCAACCTCAACACTGACATCCGCCCGCATCCATCCTCCCCCACCCTCCCCCGCCCCAACCTGAACTCGGGAGTTTGGAAGTCTGGAGTTTGCAAGTACCCAGACCCCTGGGAGGATCCAAAAAGTAGATCCCTTAAGGTGGGTTCCTAGAAAGTACCCTTAGTAGTATAGGGCCCCAAATAATATATACGGGATCTACTTTCTAGATCCTCCCGGGGGTCTGGGTAAGCGATTTCCTCAGAAGTTTGGAAGCTTCGCGAGTCTAGGGATCTAGAGGATGAGGGTTAATGGCTTGGGGTGTGTACTTCTAGAGTTATAGGGTTTAGGGGCTTGGCTTTGGGTGGTTGAGGGTCTAGGTCTCGGGGTGTACAGGGTTTAGGACTTTAGGGGTTTAGAGGTTGAGGGGCAGGGGGTTTAGGGCTTGGGGCGTACGGGGTTAAGGCGGGGTGCAGGCGTAGGCGGGGTCCAGGCGTATCAGTTCTCTCTTGCTTTCTGCGGACATAGGGCGCACGCACAGAAAGCATGCAATAAAAACACGGGAGCACGGCTGCTAGGTGCCAGGTCTAGCTTTGGTGGCACTTTGAGCAATCAGGATAAGTACTGTTCGGGTGCAGTTTATCCTAAACCACAACGAGCGACAAAGAAAATAACCCTGAAGCTATATTCTGGTTGATCTATACAGGCACGAAGTATCGTGCTTCAGGCATCGCTTAGGAGGCGCTTGCAAGGGAAAAGCGCCGGTCGACCGGCCTTAGCCAGCCAACAACCCCAGGAACAGGCGGATTAGGGCTTTAGGGTCTAGGATTTAGGGTTTAGGATCCTAAGCATACAGAACTTAGCTAACCTTTGATATTGCAGGAGCTAAGGAGCCAGGGATGATGGTAATGTCCCTATGAAATAAGGAGCTAAAGAGCCAAAAAGACCCAAAACCACTGTTTGGATAATCTTCGTGGTATTCCTAGAAAACCTTCACGGATCCTTTGTAGAACCCTGCATAGCCTCGAGAGATCAAAGGCAGCCTGCCCAAACACCATCATTTTTCTTCGAGTTTAAGGATGCAGGTCCTGAATCCTCGGCTCCAACCCTGAAAACTAAGACTGTAGCGTTTAGGGTTTAGGGTGCTTTGGGGTTTAGAGTTTAGGGTGTTTCTGGGTTAAGGGTTTAGGGTTCGGGTTCACCTTACTAAGCTCCAAACCCAGAGCCTAGTTAGCGCAGGAGCTCAAGGCCGTCTTGCCCGGTGATCCAAGCTTGCTGATCCAAATCGTCGGACCCACAGTCGTTCACAGCTGTGATTTTTGTCATGTTTAGGGTTGCGGGTGTTGGGTTTAGGGTATAGGGTCGGCTTGTTGGTTCGAGTTGTAGGTTGAAGCTTAAGGGTTTAGAGGGTTGGTGCTGGGTCCGAAACCCTTTGCTCAGCCAATCTACGGTTGAAGGCTCAAGCCCCAAACCCATTGTCGGGCATACGGAGAGACTGCGGGTCGCTAATGATAGCTCCTTTCAGCAACGAGACCTCAACGGGAATATGCGCAAGCTAAGAGCCTGAATAGTTAGTTAGTAACGCCTGCCCCTTTTGTGTCCCCATGTAGTTCTTTTACTACAATATACCTGTTCGCGTTGTTAAAGCCCTCTGTTGCTTACATCGAAAGCCCGAGCCATGCCCCTTTGTGTAGGGGCTTGGAGAGGAGCTTCTAGGGTTTATGGAAGTAACACGCTGGTTTAGGGTTTAGGGTTTAGGGTTTTCATTCCCACAAAGGGAAGCGTTCAATGGAACCCTCACAAAACCCTAAAGCCCAAAAGCTCCCAAGCTCCCAAAGCCCAAACCGACACGGTTAAACCCTAAATCCTAGACCCCAAACCCTAAACCTTTTAAGCCCCAAACCCTCTAAACCCTCAACCCTAAACCCTAAACCCTAAACCTTTTGAGCCCCAAACCCTCTAAACCCTCAACCCTAAATCCTAAACCCTAAACCTTTTGAGCCCCAAAGCCTCTAAACCCTAAACCCCCCCGAAGCCCTAAATCCCGAACCAAGAAGACCAACATCCGACAGCCCAGGATCCCGGCAAAAACCTGACGAAGGGCTTTCAGGGTTTGGGTCCAGGGTTCATTATATAGATTTCCAACCCCCCCCCCCCAAAAAAAAAAAAAAAAAAGAAAAGGACCCTTTACTGGTCCTTCATAGTGGTATTGAAGGTATATAAGAGGACTGTTGGGGGGTCTAGGTTGGGATTGAGGTTCGGGATCTAGTGTTGAAGTCTTGGGGTTTAAGGTCTGAGGTTTGGTGTGGACGTTTTGCAGCAGTGGGTTTAGGGTCCGCAGTCTTCATCGTGGAAGGGAGGAGGACCCTGACCTTCCAATATCCTTTAACTAAGGAGTAAACGCTAAATCATGTTGAGAAACATACCCTAAATTACAGCTGCATGTCTAAATTAGGCATCCTACTGTGATTCAGGGTATGTTCCTGAATTCGTGGGTTTTAGAAGGTCCGGGTAGGTCAGTAACTCAGTACTCCGGCGAAGGATGCAGGTCAACCCCACTACACTACACACTGAGCTACACCCTAAAACGCTAAACCCTAAACCCGAAACCCTACACCCTGCACCCTAAACCCTAAACCCCTAAACCCCTAAACCCTAAAACAACCCTAGAACCCTAAACCCCTAAACCCTAAACCCCTAACCTTTCCACCCAGATCCTTTGGGACAGCAACGCACCCATGGCCGACTATCCCGTGGGCCATCACGTCATGGAGATCAAGGAGGCCCACCCAATTTAGCTTTGGTTAGTAGGGATTAGGGTTCCTTCAAAGGGATCTATAGGGGTTTAGGGCGGGTTCCTTTAAAGGGATCTTTACCTTTGGATAGTAGGAAATGGAGGAATATGGGGTAGAATTATAGCTACTATTACTACCCTTTTTCCATTCACCCAATTTGGCTTTTGGGTGTATCATACGGTTGATGATATAAATCCTGCATTACCTTAAGGACCCTAAACTATGGGAATTATGGTATATTCCTTATTCTATATTGGAGCCTCCAAAGGACCCAATAATTAGGTATTCGGTTTTGGGACAGTAGTTATGTAGGTTAGGATTTTGGAGAGTATATGATTATTGGGTACTTGGACCCTTGGGGTTTTGGGTGTATCATAGGAGGCCAAAAGGGGTTTTAGCCTATGGGGGTTGAGAAGGGTCTAGGGTTCCCATCATTGGGTTCATATTAGGGAGTCCCTACCCCAAGAATCTTAAACCCCCTTTTTGGCCTCCCATCAGTGTAGGGGTAACCTCTCAAGCCTAACCCCTACCTTAGCCCTGAAGAACTTACCTGTTTTAAAGGACTTGTATAAGGAGATCATGATAGGGAACCCTAAAAAGGTAGGGAATTCAGGGTTAGGATGGACGCTAAACCAGAAAAACCCCAAACTCTAAAACCCTAAACCCCTAAACCTCAAACCCTAAACCGTAATTCAGGGAGGCCCATCAGCCCTTGGCAAATGTTCAACAGGGGGTTCTGATTCGGGCGGCAGGGCGACCTTTTCAGGGTCTTCCCCCTTTCTTATCCTTCCAAAACTAACGGTTTAGGGTTTAGGAGTATTGGGCTTAGGGTTTTAAGGGTTGAGGGTTTCCTGTTTAGCTTTTAGGGGTCAACTGGTTTCGGGGTTTAAGGTTTAGGGTTCAGGGATGTTGAAGCACCATCATGCCATCGGTTGAGTGTGGTTTGGCGCACGAACGTCGGAAGAAGCTGTCCGCTGGCTCCGACGCCTTTTCCTCTCGTCGCAGCACACTTCCTTGAAGGATCCGCCGCGCATGAATCGACCTCCATCCCTGCTGCAAGCTGTAGTCCCTGTTTAAGGAAACGGTCAAGCCTACCCAGAGGCTCCATAGCAGTTGATTTTGTAGGGTTCATAGATAGACTCCTATAAGGCTATAAGGTAATCCCAATTGGGACTACTAGGGAGCCTATGCCTAAACCCCAGGCTTCCACAGACGATCTCCCACGAATGACAACGGGGCAGAACTGCGCGCGGCACTGTGCCCGAAACTCATCAACCCTTAACCCCTGCACTCTGCCTAGACCCTCGACGCCCCAGACTGCAGCAGGTCAGGATCCCAGAGTAAGCAACGAAGCCAACCCAGAAAGAGAGCGTTTATAATCCGAAATCCAGGGATCCTACTATACTTGAAGGTTAGAGTATAGTCCTTAATTAAGGGGTTTTGGAGTCTCTGGGCATCCTCAACGTGCACGGTCGGCCATGGAGTCCGTGGACCAGAGACCACCTGACACAGTCTCCTCTTCGCTCGCCCCGGGCGTCACCCAGGTGGGAGTTTCCGAAAGAGGGGACCTTAATTATAGTAGGATCCTTATTATAAGTTGTAGTACCCTAAATAGTAGTATCCTTATTTTAAGTTGTAGTACCCTAAATAGTAGTATCCTTATTATAAGGACCTCATACTAAGATACCCCTAATTTTCGGCAACACCCAGGTCGTTCTTTTCGAGGCAACCACTTCGGCTGCAGAGCGGGGGAAGCTGGGGCTTGACTAACTCCTGAGACTTTCAATTTTCTAACATCCCTCCTAAACCCTAAACCCCTAAACCTTAAAAGGATTACATACGGGATCCCTCGTCTGAAATAGCGGTATAGTGTTGAATTAAGGGATGTTGGAAAGTCTGGGTCTATTTAAGTCACTACCATATGGGGATCTACAGTAGAAAATACGTTTACTTGTTGGCGGTAGCCTAGTTTCACTACGGTTCGCACATTGTCTGTGGCATCTTGCAAGAACTCGCAGTGCATATAGATATGCAAATATATACACACACGGACCATCTTGGATAACAACAACCCTAAATCCTATTCCCTAAGCAATAAACTCAATTCAATAAACCCTAAACCCAAACCCTAAACCCTCTGACTTAACAGCAGCAAAGGAAGGCGCTTATCGACCTTCTGCTTCGACATTGCAAGGATCCCGCAGCGGAAGTCCTCCTGCTCTGTGACGCTGGGATGCTGCGGAGTGCACAATTTGCAGCACAAGTCGTGGAGGCGATTTGTTGAAGAATTGAAACCCTAAACCCTATGTAGCCTTTATCACCAGAAGGTTCCTGGGCGGGCCAAACCCAATGTATGAAAAGCCATGGTCCTAGCTAGAGTCGCATTCTAGCCGCTATAGGAAGTGGATGTAAGTTGCGATCGTAGAGCGGGCTGTATAGTGAGAACTCAATCTATCATTCTGGTAGCCCAAACTCAGTTCCGTGAGAAGTGCCCAGGAGAAGATGCACGAATCACTGCGGCGCATACACATCAAGTACCTCCCACGCCCAACTGGAACGGCAGGGAGCCCACCGCAGGCACTGGAGGTGCTGCTTGCTTTGCAGGCACTGCCGTTCCGCCCCACTCTGGTGGCGGTCCTGGACCTCACCACGCTGACAGAGCCTTAGTCAGCCTTCGTCATTAAGTTTGTAAGACGAACTTAATTAATGTATCTTTTCTGCGCCGTTAAGCCTGGCCTTACGCTTTGTATGGGTTTTGTGCACCCTTAGGCTGTGTAGGAAAGCTCAAACTGCAAACCCGAAACAACAACGCTAATTCCACCCTCGACTCCACTTACCTTTGGTTAGTAGGGAATGGAAGAATGGTAGCAATAGTAGTTATACTTATACCCCATTCCTCCATTCTCTACTAACCAAAGGTAAGTCCAGTTAACGGCCGCGAAGGCTTCCAATCCAACGGCATCCGAGCAACATCTCGCCTTGGCTTTCGGGGCACCTCGGCAAATACTTAGCCGCATGGAAGTTGTCATGAGGATGAAGTAGTTGAAGCTTGTTCTCTTACTCCTTGCATATGTATATAGACATGTATGCAACTTACGTATTTAGGTACGTATGTATGTCTGTATGCATGCATGTATGATATGTGCTTGTATGCATTATGTGTGCTGGTGTGTATGCTTCTATGTACGTACATGTACGCATATATATATATATATATGTGTATACACACACAGTATTTCCCTGTTTTGTACAGGTATGGCATTTAAACTAAACTAGGTTCCCCGAGGAACCATGGTGCCGTAGTGCTGCTTAAGCCCTAAACCCTGAACCCTAAGCCCTGAACCCTAAACCCTAATACTCGAAACCGTCTTTAGAACGACCAGGCGCTTTGCGACTCCGCAAGCCAATTGGGCTTTGCTGCTTTGGTTTTCGATGTCGCTCCGAAGTGCAGCAGCATCGTGGCTTTCTTGTGGATCATATATAAACAACTATAGTACAATTTCGTATATACGTATAAAATATATGCCGTAGTATCGTATAGTATTGTGTACTATGGTATAGCAGGGTCTGAAGTTTGGGGTTCAGTATAAGACAAGCAGTGTAAAGATTAGATGTTAGTGTTCTCATAAAGTAAAACCGACGTAGCAGTGGCTTCGACCGTTAACTTTGTGGTTTGTCATGTAGCTTACGTGCATAGTAACAGAGACAGAGCGTCTAATTTGGAAAGTCTGCAGAGTTGCTTTTTCCCTTTGAGATTCGGGAAGTCAGGCGTCATGCTATCTGGTGCAGATCGGGTCTGGGAGGCACATCGCAACGAGAGGATGCACTGGGAGGTGCATGATGTGCTCGAAGTTTCTCTCGAGCTTTGAGTTTCCCAAACCGCTAAAACCTAGAACGTTCAGTTTCAGGAGCACTGGCACTAAGTGCCTGGTGCGGAATTGCGCAGCATCTGAGCATCCGAGCACAGACAATATTCGGGTATTGTTGTGTCTTTGGGGCTCTGCGATGCATCTTTGCACGTAATGTAGGGGCCTGTAGCACTCGGAAGAGAGGTTCAAGGTATGATACAGTACAAATATTTTAATGAAGCCAAAGGAATAGTATTGGTAAGCACTATGGCCCCGATGATGATGCTGTGCTGTGGTCATACCGATCAACCCAGCACAGTTGTTCTACACGAGCGCTTGTGTTGCCACGAGCCAAAATTGCACCGATGTGTTCAGGACTTGTGAAGTTGCTTCGGGGCGCGAATCCCGGGAGCTGTATTGGCATTATGAAGTAAGCACCAACATCCTCAGTATCCCAAAAGCCTGAAGACCCTACAACCCTAAACTCCTAAACCCCATGTTATACTATGGGGTTCCATCCGAATATTTGGTGGATGCATGCTTCAAATTTGGGAGATGGAAATCCATATGGGAGTTTCCGAAAATAGAGGTCCTTATAATAAGGATCCTAGTATTTAGGGTACTCTATTCGGTTCCCCATTTTCGGAAACCCCCCTATCAGCGAAGCGCACACCCAGCGATATCTGGGAGAATTCGAAGTCTGGGATCCTAACACCGAGCTTGTGGGTTTGGGGTGTAGGGATAGTAGGACCGTTATTCGGTTGATGATACAAATTCCCATAGTCTAGGGCCTAGGGTCATCATTAATCGGGTAATGCAGCGTTTTTTTTATCATCAACCGTTGCAACGACCCCTTGCAGATCCCGTGATAGAGCCGTTTAGATCGTTTTGAATCTTCCGCAACCGCGATTGAACCCGATAGAACCCCGAATAGAACCCTCTACAAATCCAAAACACGAACAACAAGTACTGACAGAACTGTTGTTCCGTTCAGGAAGTTCGGGCTCTAAAACCCTAAACCCATCAACTCAAAACCCAAAATTCCTAAATCCTAAACCCTAAACGCTGTAAGCTTCATATCCGACAGGAGATCTCCCACCAGCAGAACTTGGATCCGCTCGAACACATTATCAAGGCCAGAGCAGCATGCAGAGTTTAGGGTTTAGGGGTTTATGGTTTAGGGTTTAGAGTTTTAGGGTTTAGGATTTTAGGGTTTAGGGGTTTAGGGTCTAGGGGTTTAGGGCTTCAGGGGTTTGTCGGTTTAGGGTTTGGGGAGTTTAGGGGTTTATGGTTTAGGGGGCATGTCGGCTCAGCTTTGCGTCGTTTTCTCGCAGAAGCGTGCCCAGGCGCATCGATAGCAAGAAATTCAGAACTTAAGGTCATGTATCTTGACTGCCTGCCACACTGCGTCACAAATCAGATGATAGAAGTACAGGTTTCGGCTCATGCACTTCAGCACATGTTCCATACAACTTGTGAACAAAGCTGCCTTCAACGCGAGCTTGTGCAATCATTGCCAACATGTTACCTTCGAGGGTAGTTTCTGAGTGAGTTGAGCGAATCCGATCTTTCGGGTTTTCTCATTTGGTGTGCCTGCGAAGAACTGGGAAGCAAGCGCAAATACCCAGGGATGTCGAAGACAGCCAAAGAATTGAGCCCGTGGCTCAATTCACAGGCTAAAAAACCTTTCAGGTCATACCTGTCTGGCTTGGAAGACTGGTGTGCAGTGAGCACCTCCGGGACAGCTGCTGCATCGGTCGTTGCCTGGGGCCATCCCTGTTCGGGCTCGCGAACACGCGACATGCAGGAGTTTCTGCATGGAATCAGCGGTATTGCTGCGACTTGGAACTCTTTTTATGCGTTGCGGTGCGACGGCGCTGTGGTTTGAAGGCAAACATGAAGAAGCGGGCATGGTCAGAGTTTCAAGGTCGTCTTGGGACGGACCGCATCATGAGCATCATTGCCTCTTCGTTTCTTCTCCCGCATACCGAAATCGTTCACGCGGCAGCCACTGGTTGCTTGCCTTGCAGATCACTTTGGTTGGCATGTTTCTAAACCCAGCCTTAACCTGAGGAAATCATAGTCAGGAGCCTAAAAAAAGTATGTCGCTCAGGGCACGGGAACGGCTTCAATCTTAAACCCTGCACCCTAAAGGCCAAACAAATACATCCCTAAACCCTATGTTATATACATTTGTAGGTCCCTTGAAGGAACCCTAAGCCCAAGGGTCCGAGTTTAGGAAGGGTGAACAGCCTCGTGGCATTGGTGGTGGCGAGCTCCAGCTTCCGGTAGTTTAGGGTTTAGCGTTTACCGTCTTAGGAGAATCCCTAACCTAGAACTCACTCTTCATACAAGCATAACCTACTGTTCTCCAGAGCCATATAATACTAGCATAACCGCACACCCTCAAATCCGAAAACCTAAGCCACAATTTTTTTTGAGAAAAACACATCAAGCTCACAGTCAGAACTTCATGATTGCAGTACCCCAAAGCCCCAAGGACAACAAGAAGACTAATCCCTACATCCTAAGTGTATGGGTAACTATTTAGGCACCTATACGTAGTAAACCCCCATAATACCCCTTATAGTAATCCTTATAGACCCCTTTAAAGGAAGCCTGCCTTTAAACTAAAGCGGCCCGGTCTTGCTCGAAAACCCTAAACCCCTAAGCCCTAAACCCTAAATCGGCTCAGTTTCAGAAGATCCCGGGTCAACCAGCAGTTCCGGGATACAACAAAGCAACGTGCTGGCCTCGGGCCGTGCATTTAGGGTTTAGCGCCGGGCCCTTATGCTCCTGAACAGTGGTAGTTAAGGTATATAAGAGGACAGTTGGGGGGTCCAGGTTGGGATTGAGGTTTGGAATAAAGTGTTGACGCTTAGTAGCTGAGGGGATACACTTTACACTTTTTGGGATAATCTTAACCACTATAAAAACTGAAAGTGTAAATTTTGGGGGGCTTACGAACTCAAGTAGGGCTTGGCGTTCAGAGCTGAGGGTTTTAAAAGTGTTTGAGTTTGTTTGGGATCAGAGTAGACCAGCACCCCCCGACTACCCTCGAATACAGCCTAAGTACCCACTAGTGAGGACCAGCAGGCCTCTATATTGAAGGGTACTTGGGGGTGCTGGGAACTCTTGAGTTAAACAAAAGTAGAGGGTTGTGGCTTGAGTCAGGCTTGGAGTTTATGGGTTTAGCGCTTGCAAGGGCTGTAAGGGCTTGCTGAGGGTTTATTGAGTTCGTCAGTCACTTTTACTGCGGGTGACGCGCTCCCTGTCAGGAAGGGGCTGATGATTAAGATCTAGACCCTTCTTGCAGGCTTTTTTGGGCTTCGGGTACTCACATGGCACTCAATAAGGTCATGATTCCCAGACGAACCGCCGAACACTAGTCCAAACCCGATAAACCCTAAAGACTTATTCTGCGTGTTAATGCGTCCATGTTCGAACCCCAAGCGCTCAACCTCTGAAGCCCTGGTTTAAGGTTTTCATGACTATGGGCTCGATGTCGGAATCAAAGGTGTTTGTGCATGTGTTGTGTGTTGTGTGTGTGCACGGGAAATTGTGCTGCCAGGACAGCAAAGAATGGAAACTGATCCAGAGCTGATCCAGTTCAGCCGACAGTATACCCTACCCTTTATCATTCTCGAACAACCCCGAAACCCTCACGAGATTTGTGAAGCAGCATGCCGCGAACCTATATACACCCTCATTCAACCCATATATGGGTTTGCGACGTATGAGTATGAGATACGAAAACTGTTGCAAGGACTCCTAAACGGGGGCGACTAAGTTCGAAGCCTTAGTAGCCTAAAGCCCTAACCCTAAAGCCCTAAACCCCAAACTCTAAAGCCTTAACAACCTCCACTCCTGGCCCCTGGACCTTCTGGCGTTGGCAGAGGATGTTGCGGACGGAAAGGGGAGCTTAAAGATCACAAAAAGCCTTAACAACCTTTAACCCTAAAGCCCTGAACCCAAAGCTCTAAAGCCTTAACAACCTTAAACCCTAAAGCCCGTTTAAACAAAGCCTTGACAACCGAAAGCCTGCAAACCCTAAATCCTAAACCCTGAACTCTACAAAGCCTGAACAACCTAAAACCCTAAACCTTAAACCCTAAGCCCTTGTGGATCTTCTCCTGGTCGAGGTCGGCCTCTCTTGACGAGTTACGGAGCCAGATGGTCAAGCCTTATGGAACCCTTTAAGGGAAACTTTACGGGAGTTTCCGAAAACAGGGGACCCTAATACAGCACCCTAAATAATCGGATCCTTATTATAAGGACCCGCAAAATAAGGTACCCTTCATTTTCGGAGGATCCCTCTGGTGATTTAGCAGTCCCAGGTACACCAGGTCCAACGCTGGACCCGCCTGCAGGGGCTCCAGAGCTACATGTTGATGGGTGGCCTTGCCCATATTGCACGCATCAGGCACCCTCGCACCGCCTACTGCGTGTGCACCTTTCTAGGGCTCACGCTGCCAAGGCAAAGGACAGACACTGCCCGGGCAGGTTCGATCGAGCCCTTCACCGGTGAACGGCATGCCAGAGTGTGCTCGAGTGAGCCGCTCGTCGTGGGCACGGAACTTGTCCCATCACAAGGGCCCAGACGCGCCAGAGGCCGCAGCAGCCCCTGGAGCTGCCAGTGGGAGGGTACCCCCACCACCCCCGCAACCCAGGCGGGAGGCGGCTCCGAGCTGGAGATGCGGATGGAGGTGGCGAAACGGAGGTGGATAGAGCGATCCTCCAGGGGATAGATGATTTTATGGCGTCGGTCGATAGGCGCTCCGCCAGCAGAGAGCGCCCAGCCCCGAAGTCGCCTGCACGCCATGTGTTCGTGCCCCTGAGTGTTGATCCGATTCCCGAGGAGGAGCCTACTCCGGAAATTCCCTTTTACACCCTTAAAGGAATCCTTGAAGGAACCCTTTCAAGGATCCTCAAACCTCCAACCTCCTAATTTTTAAGGATCCACCTCACGGCTTCCTTCAGAACCCCTAAGAATCCTGAACAAAACCTTGCAACACCCTAAGAATCCTTGATCAAAGCTTAAGAGCACCATAAACAGGCCCTTTCCTGCTTTTCCATATATACATATATATATATATATATGTATATATTAGTGCCTTTCCCTGCCCTTCTTTTTTCTGCTTCCTTTCCTGCCCTGCTAGAAACGTTTAAAGCGCCTTCTTTTTCAAGGCTGAAGTTCACCTTGCAGACCTCCCTGGCGGAAGCGGGCACGCCGCCACCAAAGCCCAAGGCGAAAGCCAAAGCCGCTGGTACCATGAAAGGGATCCTTTAAGGGTTCCTTAAAGGGATCTATGAGGCTTCTATAAAGGGTTTAGGGTTGAGAGTTTCCGAAGCTGTGTCGAACAAGGGAGAAGCCCGGAGAACCCAATATCCCTTAATTAGGGGGTCTTGGGCTCTCTGGGAGAAAAGGATTAGGGGTTAAGCGCAGTACCCCGAACCCTAAACCCCTAAATCCTAAACTCTAAACCTTGCCCCTAAACCCCGAATCCCCGAAACCCTGAAGAGGGAGGGAGTCGAGCTTCTGGGGCGGAGGGGTTTGAGGTTTAGTTTAGGGTTCAGGGTTTAGGGTTTAGGATTGAGAGCTGTGGGCATCGCACACGGCGAGGAGACGTCAATCCGGTTGAGATTGCATAGTTAGGTGGTGTGTTGGCTGGAATGTGCTATGCGGAAGGTTTCATATGCCGGTCGGTAGAACTTTCAATAATATCCCCTTACAGCTAAGTGATCACAGACTTTCTTGAACAAAAGACCCCTTGGCCGTTCGAAGCGGGCCGTAATTTGGCCATTGGACGACTTCATCGCAAGCTTGGAGGGTAAAGACGCAACGTTCGTAAAGAAGAAGCAGAGCTCCTTGCAAGATCAGCTCTAGGAGTTGTGCAACCGGGACCTCAACACAAAAGCACTTGAACACAGCAACTAGGAGCTTGTCAAACGGAGGTGGTGAAGCCGAAGTTCCTCCTTGCTTAGCTCTCAAGGGCCCAGAGACTCCAATATCCCTTAATTAAGGAATATTCCTTAAATTATAGTAGGATCCCGAATATGATTTAAGGAATATTCCTTAATTAAGGGATATTGGAGTCTCTGGGAAGTGGCCCGTGTACAGCAGCCCGTCATGTCCCTGGACGAGAACGATGGCAGTGTCAAGGAAGATGGAGATGGTCGCGAAAACCACAGTGGGGAGTGTTTTTTGGGGGGCTTGACTTTATTATTCTGGCAAAATACATGTAAGCTTTACCTTAACCTATCAAAGCCTACTTTTTGTAGGGTCCCCTACAAGTCTACATCAAGGCTTTTCATAAGAGCCCACGCATCTATCCATCCGAAAAAGACTTGAGGATGCCTTTCTGGGATTGGGGTTTAAGAGATATTGGGGTTGAGAGATTAGGGCTTTAGGGTTTTAGGGTTTAGGTTTTAGGGGTTTCAGGTTACATTGCAGTCTGTAGGGCCTAGAGTTTAGATTTTCTGGGCTCGACTGCTAATCGACAAACCAGGCTAGCAGCGCCAAAAGCATCCAAAAAGCTGCCACGGAGGCCTTCGCGCAAGCTCGCGAGACCCTAGCACATCTTCAATCATAATAACCTAAATCCTAAACTCATCCCTAAACCCAAGCCCTCTGAGAGTCGAACCTGCGGCCATACCACATGTGCAAACCAACGAATCGAACATTGGGGGGAAAACATTTAAGGGTTACCATAGTGTAGAAGTCCTTGAAGGGTTCCTTTAAGGGTGTAGGGGGTCAAGGAGTTCAAGGTTTAAGTTACCATAATGTAGGAACATGATTCAGAAACCCTGGGCCTATAGCCCCCAAGGTAGTAGGATTCATATAAGGAGCCCTTATAAAGGCCCAAGGTTTCTTAATCAGGTCCCTACATTACAGCAAACCTCAAATCTCAAATTCCGCCAAAAGCTTACCCAGTTGCCTTGAACTGCAAAGCCGTTGAAAGGCTCAGCCAGAAAATCAGAAACCATGAACCCCAAAACCTAAACCCCTAAGCCCTAAACCCCAAACCCAGAAGCCCCACTCATAACAAGCCTAAATCCTAAATCCTATAGATCCTTTACAGGAGCCCTTAAAGGAACCCCACAGCCATGACTCTTGTCAAACGAGGCCGCTGCAGCAGCAGAGGCTGCCGAACCGAAAGCCGTCACCAAGCCTGAAATTCATATTGCCCCCCCGATTCTGTAGGGGTTTAGGTTTTAGGGGTTCAGTAGGGGTTTAGGTTTTAGTGGTTCAGGGTTTAGGGGTGCAGGGTTTAGGGGTTTAGGGGGGATGTCTTTCCATGGCTTCGGTAGCTTTGACTTCTCATGGCCGGTGAAGGGTTTTTGGCCGAGAGTAAGGCTCAAAGGTCTGGGTAGGCTTATCGTGTATACTATAGAAGCCTGAATAATTGCATCTCCCATTTTTGGGATTCCTTCTTAGTTCAGGCCTCTACATTAGGCTTATCGTGTATGGGGGTCTAGGGTGTAGTGCGTTTGGGGTTTAGGGTAAAACTTGAGGGACCCAACTACAATGACCCGGGATAGTACGATCATTCTTGCTCCAGAAAACCTCCATGGCCCCCGCAATGATACCCCCCTTTAACCGTAAAGCCCTTAACCCTAAACCTTGACCCCCACTCAAGACAGAACATTTAACGCTCGGGGCTTGAGCTCCGCCTGTCGTTTTCGCCTTGGTTTGGGGTTTACTCTCTAGGTGGCGCTTCGACCCACGATCGCCCCCACTCTATGGAAATGGTCCTTAAAATAAGGATCCGAACTATATAGGGCACTAGATGAGGTTCCCCTATTTTCGGAAATGGAGTTGTTGTTCGATGGCCCGAGCTTGCTGCATGCACTTGCTGCTCACAGGAGCAGTTTCAGTAGGGTCTCAGAGTGTGAACACTTCGGTGCGCTCACGCGCGATCAGTGTACTTGGGCTCCTTATGACATCTTGTTACCGTGATAATATGATAGCCTCCCAACCTATGTTCTGATTACGAAGGCCCCCATATGCTTCAACCCACGATCGCCCCCACTATACGGAAATGGTCCTTAAAATAAGGATCCGAACTATATAGGGCACTAGATGTGGGTCCCCTATTTTCGAAAATGGAGTTCTTGTTCGATGGCCCGAGGTTGCTGCATGCACTTGCTGCTCACAGGGGAGCAGTTTCAGTAGGGTCTCAGAGTGTGAACACTTCGGTGCGCTCAGGCGCGATCAGTGTATTTGGGCTCCTTGTGACATCTTATTGCCGTGATACTATAATAGCCTCCCAACCTATGTTCTGATGACGAAGGCCCCCATATTCCCCCATCTGTCAAACAGCCTCCCCCACGAACCTCCATCACCCAAAACCCTACCCTAAGCCTGCATCGTTATCCCACGCCGAACCCAGGCGCCAAAGGGAAAAGCCAAGGCGAAGGCCGCGGCATGAGACATCAAAAATGCCTTTCACCTAGTTCGG